TACTTGAGTAATATATGAACATATCTATATATGAATATATGATACAAATCAACTCCACAAAATATTAAATGTTTACTATGTGATGTTAGAGTACTTGAGTAATATATGAACATACCTATATATGAATATATGATCCAAATCAACTCCACAAAATATTAAATGTTTCCTTTGTGATGCTAAAGTACTTGAGTAACATATGAACATATCAATATATGAATATATGATCCAGATCAACTTCACAAAATATGAAATGCTTACTTTGTGATGCTAGAGTACTTAAGCTATACATGAACATATCAATATATGAATATATGATCCAAATCAACTCCACAAAACAAAATATTTACTTTCTTGTCTCTTTTATCTGAAATGTCCTATATTAAAATTGACGTGTTGGTCACCTGGACCAGCTTACGTATTAAAGATTGGTTTAAAACAATTTGCAGCCTGAGTAATTTAAAGGAAGGTAAGTTAGGTTGGGTTTTGAACCTGGCTGTTATATCAGGAATGATGTAAGCCGGTGTCTCGCGGACGACCTTGACACTGGCTTCTTTCCTACGAGTCTAGTGTATTTATAGAGTGCAAAATGGGGATTCGGCGAGGCCTAAAGAAAGGTCTGGAACCTCTCACCGACTGTGAACCAGATTATTTGAATTCGGAGATGACTAATCGATTTATTGTTCTATTTCTGATTCGAAATTGAAGCTTCTTCTAAATTTGCTTCTAACTTTAATATAATTCTGTGTCACATGCTGTACTGAAATTTGACTTCCTGTACTGAATAAGCTTTTCGTAATATAAAATTCGATGGGTGCTCAACGGGTTAAAACAGTAAAGTTCTATTTGAAAGAGCATACAGTTCGAGCACATTTTCGGGTGACGGTTTTAGAGGATAGTTTTCATCTTTTGGGAGCTTTTCGACGTTTTCAGGACACTGTATACGTGACTTTGATTCAGAAGCGAGAAATCGGCAAGAATCCCAACGGTGATCCAGCATCGGGCAGAGGAAACCTGTTTGAGGCACAGAAACGAGAGGTCTATTCGCTCTACATAGAATCGTTATGTGCTACTTGCTAATATGCACACAAGTTCGTTATGGTGTCGGTTTTGAGCCTACAGCGATTTATTGGGGCTCTAGTTTCTCTGCCGCTGATCCCTGTAATGAATCTAGCGAAACAATAGTAATCCACAAATTGATCGTCGCGATATTGATAGGAATTTATCTTTCTTTCTCCGGTGAAAGCAACAAGAAAATGAAAATAAGGTGAGTTAAGCAATCACAGGTGAAAAGATTGCAAGTTGAATCGGATGAGAAGGGATAATAACCGAGTGACCATCTAGCCCGGTCAGTGTCTCAGTGTTCCAGCCGGATGTTTTCACGGCGATTAGTACTTCCGGGTGATGCGCAGGAACTCGTCTTCGGCCTCTTCGTGGAATCGTCGAGCACGTTCGCTTTTCGCCGCCAGAGAAAATCGATCGTTATAGAAAATTCTCAACGAAATGCAGTTCAATTTGCGTTCCCAATGTACCGTTCTATGATTTATCACGTGATTGGCGGTACAAATCACCGATACCCGCAAAAGGAGATAAAATGCGGTCGTCTAACCCACGCTGTTCTTTTAAAACGTCGCCTTTGATTGATTTATAGTAATCATCTCGGCTTCTTTGTATTCTATGGCTATTGTTAAACTCTGTGTGAAACGCGGGGAGAATAATTTAACTTCGACCTTCATCGGTATCATTTCTCTTAAAAAAACTGAGACTAATTCACCAATAATTACTCCCAACGTTGCTCTCAAGATTGCTCTAAATGTTAAACAATATTTACAAAAATCCGCTGATCCTGTATGCTACATGTTACATAACTCGTTCAGAATTTTCATTTGATCACGAATTACGTGAAAGGAATACTTCAGAATTGTTAGCAAAATAATTTCAAGTTCAGTTCTTTCCAAACGAGAGATTCGAGCGGCTCGTCACGTTCCTGGCGGCTCCGCGGGTTGTTGAAGCCTCAAGCCGGCGTTGTTCGATTCCGCCTCGCTGAAAGAAGGCACGTAAGCGTGCAAGAGCAGAGCAGAGCGTGGCGTACTTTCACCGACCGTGACTTCTACCGCGCGGCGTTCCATTCGACGGGTTTCACGGATAAAGAGGGTAATAGAGGCGATGTGTCGCCACGTAGGTTACTAGAGCCCGCTTGCTTACGGGCGTCACACGCCTCCTCCTCGCGTAATCGCCGGAAACCTCCCGAAGAACGCCGGAGCAACAGCGTGTCCGCTTCAAAAATGTACATTACCACATCATCCTAGAAACATTGCCATGAGTGAGCTTCGTCAGGTGTTGTCATGTACAGATGCGAAAGATCAGCCAAATAGCATTCAAGGTCACTTGAACTCCACATTAGACTATAGACAAGACTATATTCAGTTGGTCCTTGTCATAAGACTATATTCAGTTAGCCCTTGCTATAAGGCTATATTCAGTTAGCCTTTGACATAAGACTATATTCAGTTAGCCCTGGCAATAAGACTATATTCAGTTAGTCTTTGCCATAAGACTATATTCAGTTAGCCTTTGACATAAGACTATATTCAGTTAGCCTTTGACAGAAGACTATATTCAGTTTGCCTTTGACATAAGGCTATATTCAGGTAGCCTTTAACATAAGACTATATTCAGTTAGCCCTTGCCATAAGACTATATTAAATTAGCCCTTGCCATAAGACTATATTCAGTTAGCCCATGCCATAAGACTATATTCAGTTAGCCCATGCCATAAGACTATATTCAGTTAGCCCATGCCATAAGACTATATTCAGTTAGCCCATGCCATAAGACTATATTCAGTTAGCCCATGCCATAAGACTATATTCAGTTAGCCCATGCCATAAGACTATATTCAGTTAGCCCATGCCATAAGACTATATTCAGTTAGCCCATGCCATAAGACTATATTCAGTTAGCCCATGCCATAAGACTATATTCAGTTAGCCCATGCCATAAGACTATATTCAGTTAGCCCATGCCATAAGACTATATTCAGTTAGCCCATGCCATAAGACTATATTCAGTTAGCCCATGCCATAAGACTATATTCAGTTAGCCCATGCCATAAGACTATATTCAGTTAGCCCATGCCATAAGACTATATTCAGTTAGCCCATGCCATAAGACTATATTCAGTTAGCCCATGCCATAAGACTATATTCAGTTAGCCCATGCCATAAGACTATATTCAGTTAGCCCATGCCATAAGACTATATTCAGTTAGCCCATGCCATAAGACTATATTCAGTTAGCCCATGCCATAAGACTATATTCAGTTGGTCCTTGTCATAAGACTATATTCAGTTAGCCTTTGACATAAGGCTATATTCAGGTAGCCTTTGACATAAGACTATATTCAGTTAGCCTTTGACATAAGACTATATTCAGTTAGCCTTTGACATAAGACTATATTCAGTTAGCCCTTGCCATAAGACTATATTCAGTTAGTCCTTGCCATAAGACTATATTCAGTTAGCCCTTGCCATAAGACTATATTAAATTAGCCCTTGCCATAAGACTATATTCAGTTAGCCCATGCCATAAGACTATATTCAGTTAGCCTTTGCCATAAGACTATATTCAGTCAGCCTCCAACCTGCTGACACGAACCAAAATTTAACTTAGCTCTAATGTCATCAGTTAGCCTTGCCATAAGACTATACACAAGGCTACATTCAGTCAGCCTCCAACCTGCTGACACGAACCAAAATTTAACTTAGCTCTAATGTCATCAGTTAATCCTTGCCATAAGACTATTCGCAAGACTATATTCAGTCAGCCTCCAACCTGCTGACACGAACCGAAATTGAACTTAGCTCTAATGTCATCAGTTAGCCCTTGCCATAAGACTATACACAAGCCTCCAACGTGTTGAGACAAACCGAAACTTGACCCTAATGTCATTTCTGTCTGTTTACAGGTAGGGACGAGCTGTCGCAGCCTGGCTCTTTGAACGGCTATGGAAGCAGCGGAGGCGGTGGTGGAGGAGGTGGAGGAGGCGGCGGAGGCGGTGGCAGCGACGGCTGCGATGCCAGGAAGAAGAAAGGACCCACGCCGCGACAACAGGAAGAGCTGTGTCTCGTCTGTGGCGACCGTGCCTCCGGGTACCATTACAACGCATTGACCTGCGAGGGCTGCAAGGGCTTCTTCCGGCGCAGCATCACCAAGAACGCGGTCTATCAGTGTAAATACGGGAACAACTGCGAGATCGATATGTACATGCGGCGTAAATGTCAGGAATGCAGGTTGAAGAAGTGTTTGACGGTCGGCATGAGGCCGGAGTGCGTCGTGCCCGAGTACCAGTGCGCCGTGAAGCGTCAGGAGAAGAAAGCACAGAAGGTAGTTTTCAATGTTCTATGCGTATATAAGGAGGTTCTTTAAAGAAATTCTGAGAAACCGTCGATCACAGATCGTGGGTATTTCCTTGCAGGAGAAGGACAAACCGAACAGTACAACGATGAACGGTTCTCCGGGCAGCGGAATACGCGCCGAACAAATGGGCGTGAAGACCGAGCCAGCTGAGGCCGAATCGTTGTCAACGTCCGGAAGTAGCGGTATCCTAACGCCGGTCAGCCCTTACAGTTACGTGAAACCCATCACTCCTGAACAGGAGGAACTGATACAGAGGGTCGTGTACTTCCAGAACGAGTACGAGCAACCCAGTGAAGAAGATCTCAAGAGGATCACGGTGAGTATGAAACTTGCATAACTTCCGACTATGTGACCGGCATGTCCTTAAATCCTCTCAACCAAGTTGTATCCATTCCTTAGCCTCAAGTTCTCTAAAGGTGCCAAACTGGTGGACCACTAGTAAATACATGGATTTGTGGTTGTTAGAGTTATGAGCTGGAAACTGTGATCCACGAAGTCTGTCGCCTTTGGTCGAGATGATAGAAGTTCATCTACAATAAGGAAATGCTTGTATTTCTGTTTAAGAACCAGCCCTCCGAAGGGGAAGACATCAGTGACTACAAGTTCAGACACATCACCGAAATCACGATCCTGACGGTGCAGTTGATCGTCGAGTTCTCGAAAAGGTTACCCGGCTTCGATGAGCTGATGCGAGAGGATCAGATCGCTCTGTTGAAGGCCTGCTCCAGCGAGGTGATGATGCTTCGGATGGCGAGGAAGTACGACGTGCAGACGGACAGCATAATATTCGCTAACAATCAACCGTACAGCAGGGAGAGCTATAACCTGGCGGGCATGGGAGAAACGATCGAGGATTTGTTACACTTCTGCCGACAGATGTACGCCATGAAGGTGAACAATGCCGAGTATGCGTTGCTAACCGCCATCGTTATATTCTCAGGTACGTCTTACCATGATGCATTACGTGCTCTACGCGTTGAGTCACCCACACTTGTAATAAAACCTAGGTTGTTGATCGTTCATTGAGACGGGGGTTTTTTAACAATTACAGAAAGGCCAAACCTGCTGGAAGGTTGGAAAGTGGAGAAGATCCAGGAGATCTACCTGGAGGCGTTGAAGGCGTACGTGGACAATCGGCGCAGGCCGAAGTCCGGTACGATCTTCGCGAAGCTGTTGTCCGTGTTGACGGAGCTGAGGACCCTCGGCAACCAGAACAGCGAGATCTGCTTCAGTCTGAAGTTCAAGAACAAAAAGCTGCCACTTTTCCTCGCCGAGATCTGGGACGTGACACCTTAGTTTGCCCGGTGAACAACCGATCGTCGGCTGAATCCTTGTTTCATCGGTCCGCAATGACGTTGTCGAGGGACTACGCTGGAGCGCAGCAGCATCATCGAGACCCAGACGCGAAGAAAACGTGGACACGTGGAGAGAGAACGAGAGAGAAAGAGAGAGAGAGAACTCCTGTACTAGTGCACCACCATGCCACTGCCTGAACGCGTTTACAGCGAGTCGACCGGTGTCCCAGGAGCACCGGCTCGTACGAAACTTCGCTTCTTCTCTCAGCTTTGGCTCGAGGGGTTCTCCGTGGCACCTCGACACCGTGAAAAGTTGTACGAGTTCGCTATGGATGCAGTTCTCGAGAGGCTGCGCAAAAATGGTTCAAGCGAAGGCAGTGGCGAGGCACCCAGGCTGTGATACGTAGAGACAGTACAGAGACTGTAATAAGGAGCTACCTACAGTTATGTTATTACTATATCCTCTTACCTGGCTACCCCCGGAATCGATATGTAAATGTATAATGTATAATGTATAAGGTATCGACTAAGGCGGGCGTGTTGTACGAGCAGATCGAGCGAGTACGAATCTAATTAAGAGCTAAGGACGCGGAATGCATGTGTGCGTGTGAAAGAATGCGAGCGCGTGAGTGTGAACCGTATGCGTGCGGACAATTCGGCTGAGATGCGACCACTGATGACGGAGAGAAAAATCGCACTTAAGTTTGTGGAAAAGGAAGAGTAAGGCGGGTCAGCTGTTGAGCAGCGAACTCGGCCGACACGCGAATCGAGTGCGAATTAACAAAGAAAATAATGATGATGATAATGAAATAACAGATGATACGATTATACATAATGATACCATAGAGTCTATATCACAACACATAGCATAATAATATATTGCTAGCATGTACACATTGTTTATACGTGATGAGGAAAGAGAAAAGGCGCGATAGAAGTGGATCAAAACGCGGGAAGGAAACGGGGTTAATCCGCCGATGGATATACATAAACGAGGTTTGGCATTTGCGCGTATCCGGGTTTTCTTTTTTCGCGAACTGTGCGTGGCAAGTAAAGGTAATCCAGAGAAAGAGAGAACGAGCGAGCGAGAGAGAGAGAGAAAGAGAGTAAGCGTTAGTAGCAACATAGGAAGTTAAGTAAAAAGTAAAAGTAAGCGAGGCTAGTTGGTAGTAGGTCGTAGTAAGTCAGTGAAGCTAGGCTAGGTGGACCGAGTTCAAGTGCAAAGCCTTGTGCCTTCAGCAGCGGACATCGGCTCACCGACAAACGAAAGCATGAAATTTAACCGTCCGTTTTAATTTTTTAATAAAAAAAAAAGAAAAGAAAAATCAACAAAATCAAGTAAAATATTGTAAATCTGTGCAGAGAGAGAGAGAATGAGAGAGAGGGAGAGTATGGTGTGACGAGGACAGATAATGGTTCAGACCGGTGAGAAAGATGGAGAGGATGAAAGCAACGGTGATGAAAGAACGAATGAATGAGCAAAGGAAAGGAGCAGGTTTCGCGAGAAATTTGACAAGAACCGGAAACAAAGATCTTTCTAAGGAGAAACACGGAACAGGGTCGCGCTAGAAGCTTTAGGGGAGTTCGATGGGACGATATTTGCTCGACAACTTGGGTCGACAGGACCGCTGTGACATAATATGCTAGCATAAAAAACACATTCGATCGTTACGAGAATCAAGTTGCTTCTGAGACTGACTTTCAATCTGGCTCGTACATCAATGGAGAGTGAGACGAACACACACAACACACACGTACACATATTCACACTCGTACACGAGCGCGTGCGCACATTCGTAGACACTTACCTTAGTCCAGAGAATCGGCGAACTGGAAAGATCTAGAAGACACTCGTTTGTCAACGCGAGGATTACGCTAAGATTCTCAATGTTGTAACACTGTAATTCTATGCTATTAACTGATTATATTCCGTAGTAAGTTAAACGAAAATTCGTGTAAATGTGTAACGAGGAAGACGAAGAACGATCAAGGCTGGAATAAAACACGAAGAGAAAGTAATCGAATCAGACACGAGAATGGAATGACTAAGTACTTCGCCTTGGACGAATAGAAACATCCTACACGCGTATCGTGTTTTACTATTGTACAGTTATACCAATCGCACGTTGGCGGCGTGTCACTATACTCAAAGTAATAACGTCGTTTCTCTTCAGCCTCGTCGGTTCGATGCCTCGAAGGGATCGCCTCGTCGACGCCTCGGACCTAACTCGATTTTACCACGATAAAAGAACTGTCTAACGTAAGAACCTGCCTCCGGGCAGACACTGCCACATCGCAGAACAGCATAGACGAAGACAGAGGACCCGAGGAAGAAGAACGCGAGAACCATCACCGCCATCGCTCCGCCGACGTGCCGGCCGCTTCAACTTCAAGGCGGCACGAGCTGTTCTCCAGAACTAGAAGAATAACTTTAAGGAACATCTCAGAGCGTTGCTGGAAGTCGTCATCTTTGTCTGTTGGACTTGATCCAGGCTACGCTCGTGGGGCGTTCTAACGAAGGATAGAGTCAGGATTTGCAATAACGACATAATCCGAAGGAAGAAATTTAAAACGATCTCAATAAAGGAACTCCTAGCCAGCAACGCGTCCATACGAAGAGGACACATGTACAAAAACACATCACCATGGAACACCTGCACACACCTGTACTCCGCATTGCTGTAACTCACTCTAACGTTATCGAGTGCTTTCAGACACGCCGTTTTTTGCTATAGACGCAGCGAAAAACGAAGGATGAATTGCCTATTTGTTATTATACATCTCGTAAAAGTACACTTACCTTAGTCCAGAGAATCGGCGAACTGGAAAGATCTAGAAGACACTCGTTTGTCAACGCGAGGATTACGCTAAGATTCTCAATGTTGTAACACTGTAATTCTATGCTATTAACTGATTATATTCCGTAGTAAGTTAAACGAAAATTCGTGTAAATGTGTAACGAGGAAGACGAAGAACGATCAAGGCTGGAATAAAACACGAAGAGAAAGTAATCGAATCAGACACGAGAATGGAATGACTAAGTACTTCGCCTTGGACGAATAGAAACATCCTACACGCGTATCGTGTTTTACTATTGTACAGTTATACCAATCGCACGTTGGCGGCGTGTCACTATACTCAAAGTAATAACGTCGTTTCTCTTCAGCCTCGTCGGTTCGATGCCTCGAAGGGATCGCCTCGTCGACGCCTCGGACCTAACTCGATTTTACCACGATAAAAGAACTGTCTAACGTAAGAACCTGCCTCCGGGCAGACACTGCCACATCGCAGAACAGCATAGACGAAGACAGAGGACCCGAGGAAGAAGAACGCGAGAACCATCACCGCCATCGCTCCGCCGACGTGCCGGCCGCTTCAACTTCAAGGCGGCACGAGCTGTTCTCCAGAACTAGAAGAATAACTTTAAGGAACATCTCAGAGCGTTGCTGGAAGTCGTCATCTTTGTCTGTTGGACTTGATCCAGGCTACGCTCGTGGGGCGTTCTAACGAAGGATAGAGTCAGGATTTGCAATAACGACATAATCCGAAGGAAGAAATTTAAAACGATCTCAATAAAGGAACTCCTAGCCAGCAACGCGTCCATACGAAGAGGACACATGTACAAAAACACATCACCATGGAACACCTGCACACACCTGTACTCCGCATTGCTGTAACTCACTCTAACGTTATCGAGTGCTTTCAGACACGCCGTTTTTTGCTATAGACGCAGCGAAAAACGAAGGATGAATTGCCTATTTGTTATTATACATCTCGTAAAAGTAGTGGCCATCGTCGGCCCGTGGCAGATGTCCTTATTGAAGCTCCACGGACCGACGATGTCATGTTCGTTCGAACGGTAGCATTCTTGAAAAGAATTAACTTTTAAGCGTGTGCTCGCGCGCGACAGGACAGCTTTGTTAAGTCTTCGACTCGCTTCAAAAGTGAACACCATGCAATGATGTACACTCAGGATAGGGGATGACCTTTGTAAAAGAGATTGTGCTCTCCCATGCGGGACACGGTTAATTTTGTATTTCGAGTCGAGCTCTTCCATTTCTAGAATCATTTTTATACAATGAACTTCCTACGAAGCTTCTTGTAATATTGTTCAAATTCTATTACACGTTGTTTATTCTGGATTAGCTGCATTTCTTTTTTCCAGCCTCAAATTGTGCAATATAGACAGCCTGCTGGAACTGTCCAGTCCAGCATGGGAGAAGGTCAGGAACGTTCTCGAAGGATCGGCGCTAGGGTTTGGCGCCCCTGATCTAATCTCCAGTAGACTCAAAACGTTAGAGGCTAAAAGTTCTTTAAATTTGTGCAATTTGGAAACCTAAGAATTTGAAAATTGCATTTAAATATAGCAAGAGTCTACTGTGTCATGAAATTTAAGAGTACACGTTTCTTTGGACACAATTTTTGCTACAGGGTCGTACAAATGTTCGCGCCAGTCCTGTACATTGTATCAAGAAAATCACGAACCGTCGACGGCAGGTCGCGTCATCGTTTCATTTCCCATAGTGCTTAGAATCGCCCTGTTGACAGGCATTTTCCTATCGAAGGACGCAGTCCCCTGATTCCCAACATGGCGTCGTTAGTTGCCGCGTCGAGCGCCAGGTGGCGTTCGAAAACGCGGGATCCGAAGAACACGGACAGGTTTTAAGACGGGAGAGGAATCAAGGTGAACCGCATCCTTCGGCAAATCAGAAACCGGTCACACGTTGCTCCGTGGGTGAACCGAAAGGAATCGAAGGCGAAAGACAGAGAGAGTGAGAGGAGAGAAGGCGGGAGAGAGAGCGAGTGGAAGGGTACGAGCGACAATCCACGTTCACATACATGCAGAGAGATAACACACGTACACACACTCACACACACGCGAACGAAAGAAATACTATATACATTCAATTCTACGATCACTGCCAAGGGCGTTTTAAACCGTCGACGTCGATTTCTCATTGTCTAAACGTATCGTTTTAGTCGTCGTCGTCGTTTTCTCGAGAAGCTGCTGCAAAACGATTCTAATTATACGAAAAGAAGGACACTACCATTTGCTCGTCACAGGCGACACCTAGAGATATTTAAGCGATAAAAACGAAAAAAAAAAAATGCAAAAAATATATATTATTATATATACATATATACACATATATGTATATAGTATGTGCGCCCGTTCGAATTTTCTCGCGAGCGATTGTTCATGATAACTGCCAAGCGTAGACTCGAGTTTCTCTGTTTTTTAAGGGACAAAACTATAATACTCCTTTTGAATGTGTCGTTGAACCATACACAGCCATGCACAGAAACGCGCCATACGAACAAACACACACACACACACCGATTACACAATGTGAATATGTGTCATATGTATGCGCATCGTGCCGCAATCTCTCTTGTTTGTCTGTTTGTCCGCCCAGGTACCCTGATCTGTCCGTTTCTCCTAGATGTCTCTTTTCGCCTCTTGTACATACTAATAGAGCTGATGTACGTCGTCACGATATAGCGTGGAGTTATTCACAAATCGATTTACGACCTTGTTGTATCGCGGCGGGTACTGTACATGTGTAAATATATCAGGCATCTGATCATCCACGGTGACTTTGCCAAACGCGACCAAAGGCTGCAAATCTGTTTTCAGAACTTAATTTCTATCTTCGCAATTTTGTACCCCGGGACAGTTTGAAATTTTTGGGAATTTGTAGGCTTTTATTGATATGTCCGTTTGCAAAATTTAATATTTCAGTGGAAATCTTGATTTGATTAAAAATTTCGTCTTGGTATTACGTCGGTGGTTGCTGATTTTTTAAATGCTGTTTGTAGTCTTTTGATATGAAAGTTTGCAGAATTTAATGTTTCAGTGGAAGTCTTGATTTGGTCAAAAATTTCATCTTGGTATTACGTCGATGATTGCTGATTTTTTAAATGCTATTTGTAGTCTTTTGATGTGAAAGTTCGTTTGTAAAATTTAATATTTCAGTGAAAATCTTGATTTGGTAAAAAATTTCATCTTGGTATTACGTCGATGATTGCTGATTTTTTAAATGCAATTTGTAGTCTTTTGATATGAAAATTCGTTTGCAAAATTTAATATTTCAGTGGAAGTCTTGATTTGGTCAAAAATTTCATCCTGGTATTACGTCGACGATTGCTGATTTTTTAAATGCTGTTTGTAGTCTTCTGATATGAAAGTTCGTTTGCAAAATTTAATATTTCAGTGGAAGTCTTGATTTGGTCAAAAATTTCATCATGGTATTACTTGGATAATTGCTGATTTTCGAACTGCTATTGATACAGTAGCTGAAAGCAGAGAATTAAGCATTGAAACGTTCGATCCCGGGGTAACAGCTGTGTGTGTTATGGTCCCTGCGAAGTGGGTAATATTACTTACTCGGGTCCGAAGTCAGAAAACTCAGTTTTTGCAGCCTCTCGTCGCGTTATCTCACCGTGCAGCGTAACCTGATACTTTCGTTGCTTGTAAGAAAGTTCGTAGTTGGTATTTTCTTATTGGACGGCAACGTTTCGGCAAGAAAAAACTAGAGCGAACCGTGAAAGAATGCTAGAGCGAGGAAGATGGTTCTTGTTATATTAAATCGCGAAATGGAGGGAGTTTTAATTTATTGGAAGCTGTAGAAACGAAGAGAACAAGGAACGAAGGAAGCTTATAAGCTCTGAAGATTATTATAAATAAAGTTAAATGATTATACTTTGTTATGGTAGTTTTATGCATTATTTTCTGATTACTCTGGAACGCGTCTCGTTCCCTTTTCATTTTTTTTTTGTACATAATTGTAACGAGAGAAATGTAAGGAGCCCTGAGAATTTTCATCGAGATTCTTCGTCCCTTTTTGAAATTTCGAGAAATTCCACGTTTGTTTGCATCTTGAACGCCATTGCTCAATTTTTCAAAATTTCATTTCGCTTCTCGATATCGTAACGGTGAAACGGCAATAAGTTAGTATCGTATAGTTCGCGGGAAAAAATCGGTTTTCGTCGCGTTGTTTTGCAACTCTACTTCATAAGCGACTCGTGAGTAATATAAGCTGACTTATTAACGATCGAGTTGAATAGTAGCGACCGATACTCTGCAACAACTGTAACGATAATCGACTAACAAAATTTTCGGGGCTGCCAATACTAACACCAAAACGTACAAAATTTTTCATCACACAAGCGAGCTGTTCAATAGATCGACTATAAAAATAAGATACTACGACTAACAATCGCTGCTTAGGCATAATACGAGTAAGTCCGAAGGAACGAGAGAGAAAGAACATAAAAAAAAAATGTTATATAGTGGCGACGAGTAGCGGTGGAAAAGAGAAATTAACGAAAAGGAAAAAAAACGTGGCACGATAAACCGAGAGAAAAAAAGAGGACAGAGTTACTAACTATTATTGTATAGTACTGATTATCGTACAAATTATTGTCTCCAGACTTTTAAGAGAAAAAAAGAAAAAAAAAGAAACGATACCGTCGTCGCTTGTCACAGGACCTGCCCTCGTCGGATGTGCACCCGGTCGACTTACTACTACTACTACTATTGCTACTATTTATTGCTATTATTGCTCCTGTTACTGCTGTTATTATTACTATTGTAACACGTAAACACTAACGTTTGTACTTGCATCACGGGGAACGCACGCAAAATGAACGAACACACGATACACGACACAATGGTACGATCGATCGAGAAGTATAGTTAAGTATAGTTGGGACGTGGTTATGTATTTTTGGGTATATAACTATTTGGACGCAGTGAACGTTTCAATTTGGTTATGGAAATTTGTTTGTATAGTCGGGAGGTATAGTTGGAACTTTATAGTTGATTGGGTTGGAATTTAGTATTTGGTTTGTGTGAGACAGAGTTGGGATTGTAACTATAGTTCATTTGTATGGGCATAGTTTTAACTATAGTTCATTTGTATGGGCATAGTTTTAACTATAGTTGATTTGTGTCGGTATAGTTTCAACTATATTTGATTTCTGTCTGAAGAGTTTTAATTATAGTTGGTTTGTATCGGTACAATTTTAACTATGGGTGATTTGTATCAGCACAGTCTTAACTATAGTTGACTTGTATTGGTATAATTTTAAATATAGTTGATTTGCATCAGTCTAGTTTGGACTATGGTTCATTTGTATTGATACAATTTTGACTATAACTGATTTGTATCAGTATAGTTTGAACTATACTTGATTTGTATCAATACAATTTTAACTATAGATGATTTGTATCGTTATAGTTTGGACTATAGTTGATTGTATCAGTCTAGCTTGAACTATACTTGATTTGTATCAATACAATTTTAACTATAGATGATTTGTATCGTTATAGTTTGGACTATAGTTGATTGTATCAGTCTAGCTTGAACTATACTTGATTTGTATCAATACAATTTTAACTATAGATGATTTGTATCGTTATAGTTTGGACTATAGTTGATTGTATCAGTCTAGCTTGAACTATACTTGATTTGTATCAATACAATTTTAACTATAGATGATTTGTATCGTTATAGTTTGGACTATAGTTGATTGTATCAGTCTAGCTTGAACTATACTTGATTTGTATCAATACAATTTTAACTATAGATGATTTGTATCGTTATAGTTTGGACTATAGTTGATTGTATCAGTCTAGCTTGAACTATACTTGATTTGTATCAATACAATTTTAACTATAGATGATTTGTATCGTTATAGTTTGGACTATAGTTGATTGTATCAGTCTAGCTTGAACTATACTTGATTTGTATCAATACAATTTTAACTATAGATGATTTGTATCGTTATAGTTTGGACTATAGTTGATTTGTATCAGTCTAGTTGGAACTATAGTTGATTTGTATCAGTCTAGTTTGAACTATAGTTGATTTGTATCAGTCAAGTTTGAATTATAGTTGATTTGTATCGATATAATTGTAACTGTAACTGATTTGTATCGTTATAGTTTGGACTATAGTTGATTGTATCAGTATAGTTTGATCTATAGTTGATTTGTATCAGTCCAGTTTGAATTATAGTTGATTTGTATCGATATAATTTTAACTGTAACTGATTTGTATCAGTCTAGTTTGAACTATAGTTGATTTCTATGCATACAATTTTATCTATAGATGATTTTATCGTTATAGTTTGGACTATAGTTGATTTGTATCAGTCTAGTTTGGACTATAATTGATTTGTATCAGTCTAGTTTGAACTATAGTTGATTTGTATCAATTTAGTTTGGTCTATAGTTGACTTGTATCAGTCTAGTTTGAGCTATAGTTGATTTGTATCAGTTTAGTCTAAACTATAGTTGATTTTTATCAATATAGTTTGAGCTGTAGTTGATTTGTATCAGTCTAGTTTGAACTATAGTTGATTTTTACCAGTCTAGTTCGAGCTATAGTTGATTTGTATCGGTTTAGTCTGAACTGTAGTATATTTGTATTAATATAGTTTGAACTATAGTTGATTTGTATCGATACAATTTGAACTATAGATGACTTGTATCGGTGCGTTTGGAAGTATAGTTGATTCGTATCGGTAGAATTTCAACTATAGTCGATTTGTGTCAGTATACGTTTAACTATAGTTGTTTCGTATCATTATAGTTTGCACTATAATCGATTTCCATCGCTATAACTTGAACTATAGTTGACTTCTATCGACATACTTGCAACTATACTTAACACAGATGATTTCTAATTCCCTGCCTCTTTTGTCCAACTATAGTTTCCTAATTAACCACTCTATAATAAATTCCCACAACTATACTCTTTCACAAATACATAATCTTCCAGACCTCCACAAGTTACAATATTACTTAAAAAAGTAAAAAATAACTATACGCAACTATACTATCGATACTCGATCAGTTGTACAATACACGGTACACCGAGCGTGAACCTGTTCGAAGAACACGAAGAAAATTAATCTAAAAAGCGCGTCCCGTATCTTCTACTTAGCATTTACTATACCTAACTATTATAAAGAAGTACTACTATTGTAAATTATCGAAATTATTGTTAAAGAAAATTGAGAATTCGGTGTGAAATTAGATGAAACTGGGCGTAGGCTCCTTTCGTTTCACCTTTTCTTTTTTTAGTCGTAAGAAATCGAAAATGTCGTGGTCGGGACACAGAGTCGGCCATATTGGAATGAAAGAAACTATTTAACGAATTGGTGCTTTGGAATGTATTAGACTGAACAAAAAAATTATTGTTGTACGTTTTAAACGAAAACGAAAAAAAAAAAATTGAAAAACAAGTCGACTTGATTGGGAGTTCTTTTGCTCCGCATTCAATTAATAATTGGTAATTGATCATTTCTATTTGGAGCGTTTTATATATATACAATATATATTATATATTCGCTAGGTTGCACACAAAGACACACACACATATACACGAACACTACACTAATATATTGCGAACAGTGGTGGGAATCAAATCGCCTTTTGTGATTGGAAAGTTGTTTCTAAGAAAGTTATTTTAAATCGGTTATCGATACGTCGACGCATCCTTTTCGTTCCAAGCGACGGTACTCGACGTGTCGAACGACAAAAAATATCGACCGAATTATCGCGTATAGCGCGGGCAAATTTTAATGAAACATTTGTGATTCTAGTAGGTTAGATTTGTTAGATTCGATTGTATTTCGAGAATTATCTAAATTCTTTTTAGAGCGTATATTCGTTGTCAATTCAAATTTCGCGGCGTTGTTCCTGTTTTCTCGTAACCGATCTCGAACGCGCGGGAAATTCAAACGGCGGTTCTCACTTTTCTCCAAATTCTGTTATATTCGCGAATCAAAATTGAGAATCGCCGACGTTCGAGTCAAAATTTCTATCGTCGTTGCAATTTTATTAGACGTACTTTCGACTGAGTCTTTGCAAATAACTAGTTTGAATAATTTGCGGGTTTTTCGATAGGCGAGTGTTGGATCGGGCGAAAAGATAAATGGTCGCGTTGCGATTCCCAGCACTAACTTTTCACACGTGTGTATACAACATGAACGTGCGAATTTGAGAAAAAAATGGAAAAACGATATTACTTTGTATGTATAACAACAATTTAGCAGATTCTGTGCTCGAACGGAAGAGGATGAGTGAGAAAGGTAGCGTGCGTGAAAGAAAGAAAGGGACTCGGCGTGCACTCCGCCCACGTGGAGGAATTTTTGCGAAATTCGGCAAAATACGGCGGTGCGGTTCGACTTAAATGCGCCAGTTGCGTGTAAAATAGAAATTACACGACGTAGATAACTCGGTAGACACGCGTGAACGTTCGTCCCAGTCGATTAAAAATTTTCAAATGAAATCCATGCGAGAAAGGACGCGTGGAATTACAAAATGCAAGCTCTACAAAATTTCACCGTTTTTCAAACTTTTGTAATTCCTTTCCAAGTCCCAGAATTCCCTGATCGACTGCGGACCCGTAATTAACGCACTAAAATATGACATTTCAAAGAATCCTCGGAAATTCGAAGTTCACGCGTGTCTAGTAACTTTCGTGTTCTCCGCAATGGGAGCCACATTGTACATCAACAATATTATATTCTAACGATTACTAATTAACTAATGTACAATAATTTTAACGATTGCTAAACGATAATGATGAAGTCTTTATGCGTAACAGTGTTGCACGAGGGAGGTGGGAGGGTGCGAGAGTGGGAGAGCGTGAGAGGCGACTAAAATGGAATCCTGAATGTAAAATGGCGAAACGGAAGAGAAATCGGAGAATCTGTCTTTCCGTAGTTTTGGAAGGGTTGTTGCCAGTCTGCAGACTTTTTAACAAAACTTGCAATTGTTTTCTATTTCGTTTGAGATAACATTTAAAATTCTCTTACTCGCATTTTTCATCGAGAAAGTATTTCTTTAAATTTCACAGGAGAAATAATTTAAAGTTCTTTCCAAGTTAAACTTTTGAACAATACAAAAAACACAAAGGATTCCGTTAATGCAAACATGAATGCGAACAATGTTAACGTTTCAACCAACAGTGAAACGAGAACCACTGGCAATCACGAACCAGGTTATAAGTGCAAAAATTCGTTAAATAGAATGTTAAAACATAATTTAAAAATCGAGTTCTTGCGCTTATTAAAAGTTTCACAAACGAGATTTCGAACAGTCAACAAAATTTCGCGAAAATATTGACACGTTCGAGCCCTTTTAAAGAAGCTGATTAATGTCCTATGTCGAGATATTAATCGGTTAATCTGTTTGGAGTAAAAGATGGCCGGGCCCGAACGTTGAGTCGCGTAATGGCGTCCGTAAGGCGGGAAATTTGATTTCCCCGGAGACTAAGAATTGATTTTCGAGAATTATTTTGACGGCGTTTCGTTAATTAAATGCAATACTGTGAACTACGTGAGGAACGAGCAGGCATCCCTCACCTCCGTGATTTTTTGAAAGCAGACAAAATTTTTTGACTCCTTTTTTAAGACGTTTGTCTTGTCCGACAATCGTTTTGATAAGCAATAAGTATATAGACGTTCAAAATTTAGTAAATTTCGTTTGGAATTTGGAACGAGTAGTTGGTAATTGACAGTTCACGAAATTTTACCAAAGCGCTGTTACATGAAAGAGTACCTCTAAAGATAACCTGAAAAAAGAATTTTATCAGAGTTTGAAATTGAACGACACAGAAACGCCCGTGTAAGAAAATGTCGAGTACAAGAAAGAGGGCGCTGAACGTTTTTCCCCTTGAATTCTAACCTCGAAAAGAAAACAAGTACCAACCCTCAGATCTATTAAATCGTTAGAAGATTTATTTTCCTGAGGTATCCAAGAGGCGTTCAAAAGTTTATTTTAATAACGAGAAGATCTAGGAAGATGAGAAAAAAGAAACTATTTATTTTTCTTACACAGTATTGCACAGGCCTTTTCATTGAAAGGAAGATGGCGGATGAAGTTCGGGGAGAGACAATTTGTCAGATGATTAATTAACAAATTCGAGACGGTTAACGATCGAATAGAAAAGCATTAATTAACGTTAGGATAAGGAGGAGGAAAGAAAAATACGTAGAGTGCGTGGTGAGCGAGTGAGAGGGAGAGAGACAGAGAAATCACAGAAGCCATAGAGTTCAAAAGAGAAAAAAAAAAAATGAAAAAAATAATAAAAGTAAAATGAAATAAAAAAACGAGTGCATTGTGTACATACATAAGGAAAGAACAAAGACGAACAGAGCCGTAAATACAGTGTGGTAACCGAACGACAACTTTGTAAATTAGCTTTGTACATTGATGATCCCTATTGTTTTCGTTTTTTAATTGTTGTTTCGACGAGGGAGATCTGTATACCGCGACCTGTTAACCGATTAATTCTTAGTTAACGCAAAATTAATACAAAAAAATTATAAATAGATATTGAAGATTAGACTCTGACGAATTTGGTTAACAGGTTAATTTGAAAAGAAATTTTTAAGTGCGAATTTGACCCGTGAACAGAGCAATAATCGAAATCGAGTAAAACCTTGTAATTTCTTTGCTTCTTTCGAAGATTTCGTTCTGAAAATATAAATGTAGTATCTAAGAGTATAAAAGGGAGAACAAGAAATTGCTGGCAATTCCAAAGATTTTACCCACGACAAATATATATATTTTATTATACTATGAAGTTGAGAGAATAAAAACCCGGGATTCATTTCTTGTCCGTTCTTTTCTCAAAGTTAAGATAGAAAGATGTTTATCTATTATTCTGTATATAAAACTGTGCATATACATATGTGTATACATAACGGAACATATATAAAAACATATATATTTTTCTGGATTAAGAAGAAAAAAAATGATAAGGACGTATCCGACTTCGTGGACGCAATAAGAAATTCACTATAATCGATTATGCATGGGCATCAGGGTGTAGTTTAATAGAGAGAGCGAGAGAGAGTGAGAATGAGAGAAAGATAATTATTAAAGAGATGACTATTTTCTTGACGAAAAAAACACGAGAGTACACAAGAGAATTGGAATTCATTTTCAATTTTTTTAGGAACTATTGCTCTGTTTGTGGGTCTAGAATTTGTTTGAATGATTTCGGATTTCGTTTGATACAGAGGTGAAATTATAGAGGTAAAATTACAGTAGAGCCTCGTTATATTGCCGTCGGTACAATAGAAAGAGCGTGTAGAGATATCAGCACGTGAGGATCTCAGCGCGTGGAGGTCTCAGCGCGTGGAGATTTTAGCGTGTGGGGATCTCAGCGCATGGAGATATCAGCGCGTGGGGAACTCAGCGCGTCGGAGTCTCAGCGCGTGGGGATATCAGCGCGTGGAGGTCTCAGCGCGTGGAGATCTCAGCGCGTGGAGATCCCAGCGCGTGGAGATCTCAGCGCGTGGAGATCTCAGCGCGTAGAAGACTCAGCGCATGGAGATATCAGCGCGTGGGGAACTCAGCGCGTGGAGATCTCAGCGCGTGGGTGTCTCAGCGCGTGAGGATCACCGCGCGTGGAGGTCTCAGCGCATGGAGATCTCAGCGCGTGAAGATCCCAGCGCGTGGAGATCCCAGCGCGTGGAGATCTCAGCGCGTGAAGATCCTAGCGCGTGGGGAACTCAGCGCGTAGGGATCTCGGCGCATATGGATCTCAGCGCGTGGGAATCTCAGGGCGTGGGAATCTTAGCGCGTAGAGATATCAGTACATAAGGATCTCATTCGCCATTATGGGGCCATATAACGAGAACCTACTGTATTTCAATATTTTCTTCATAAATTTGATTCTTGAACAAATAATTAAGTTATCACCCTCCCAAAAAGAAAATAATAAAATATTGAGAAGATATTTCCCATAAAAAAATTGTTGACAAAATGAATAAAATTGAAGTTTACAGATCTCCTAGTTCGCTGTTTTAAAAATAATAAAAGAAACTGAAACACCCGTTGCATGTACATAGACCGGAAGACTACTGGTAGCCATCTTGTTAATTAATTGAGACGACTTCGTCGACTGATGTTCTTTCTCTTCTTTCTTTTCTCTCACTGAAACACGCGACAATTAACATCGCAATTACTTTTTATTTTCTTTGTCCAATTAACTCCGAGCTTCCTTTTAATTATGCAAATTAATTTATTCTTCTCGCGATTTTGTTAATGTTAAAATAGATTCTATGATATTCGAATGTAATTCGAGTACAGTAACATCGTAGTTTAGTTTTCTTTCGTTTGCATCCAATATACAGATTGTATTTTTTAATTGTTATTAGTTGTTTAATTGAGAAAAATTCGATTATACGCCGATACGTATCGGTTGGTACTGTTACTATTATTTAAGCGTTAGTTACGATCCACGGTGGAACGATTATTCATTTTCTTTTCTGCTGCAATTTTTTATGTTGTACATAACGTTGTATAAACATTTGTGTAAATGCGTGTAGCCAGTAAGGTAAAGTGATATATTACGCAAAGTGAGAGAAAGAGAAAAAGGGAGAGCCCTTCTGTCTGTTGTATATTATTTTTATTTCCACCTTTTTTACATGAAAACAAAAATGCGAGATCGGTTTTGACCGTGCTATGTATGGATGATATGTTCCAATATAGAATAAATCTTTCAACAAATACTTCATTGTTTGCAACTTTTTTATATCCTTCCATCTTATTAAAAAACTATTACTTCACCAACTTATTAAAAAAACGTCCTGTTACTCGATCATTCACGTTAAACATCCCAACACGCAATATCGCGTGAACTTTTACAAAATGTCCGACCACGCGATATCGCGTGGAAGATCACCTCTACAATAACATCCGATCACGCGACATCGCGTGTGAAATCGCCGCTCTTCGAACGTCCCGGCACACAGCGAACGTCCTAACAAAAGAGGAAGGAAGAAACCACAAATTTTCATCGAAAAATTTATTAGACTCGTCCACGACGAGCTGAAGCACACAGAAACGATTATGCATACGATTAAAATCTTGTATATACAACATGTAACTTTTACACGCACACGCACACTGATACAACTCTTTTAAACTCCGCGTTCCCAGTCGCTGGAACCACACCACGATGTACCACGAGGAAATGAAACGAGTCTTTGGTGGCGTCATCATGGTTAACAACGAACACGAGCTGAACTAATTTGCCTAGTATGACATGATGCTTTCATACTCTTCGGTATTACCTGCAATATCAATTGTGCTTGTACAGAAATTTGTCAAAATTAATATTAGGATACAAGTTCAAGTCAACAGGAAGCTAACATCGAATTGAAGGAGGTTAGGCTAAATAATCAACTACTATCAGCTAGGCTAAAGGAAGGGGTAAGTCAGTTAGGCTGAAGGAGGTTAGGCTAAATAGCCAACTACCATCAGTTAGGCTGAAGGAGGTTAGGCTAAATAGTCAGCTACCATCAGCTAGGCTAAAGGAAGGGGTAAATCGGTTAGGCTGAAGGAGGTTAGGCTAAATAGTCAACTACCATCAGTTAGGCTAAAGGAAGGGGTTAATCAGTTAGGCTGAAGGAGGTTAAGCTAAATAGTCAACTACCATCAGCTAGGCTAAAGGAAGGTGTTAGTCAGTTAGGCTGAAGGAGGTTAGGCTAAGTAGTCAACTACCATCAGCTAGGCTAAAGGAAGGAGTAAATCAGTTGGGCTGAAGGAGGTTAGGCTAATAGTCAACTACCATCAGCTAGGCTAAAGGAAGGGGTTGATCAGTTAGGCTGAAGAAGGTTAGGCTAAATAGTCAACTACCATCAGCTGGGCTAAAGGAAGGGGTAAATCAGTTAGACTGAAGGAGGTTAGGCTAATAGTCAACTACCATCAGTAATGACCCAGGAACGTTATGTCTCAAACGGGAGGACTCACCACACACTGCACTTGTGCGTAGGGTTCATGGGCGAGCCCGGGGGGCAGTCAAACGCCCTGGCGAAGTCCTCGCTGTTGGACAAGGGTCCCAGGACCCGTATAGGACCCGGAGAGTGCACGCTGCTTCGTATCTTCGTCAGTGCGTCCTCCGGTCTCATCGAACCGCACCAGATCTGAGCATAGTTCAGGAAGAACAGCTGATCGTGAGTTAGGTTCACGCCGGGCAGTAGTGGCTCCTCCCCGTGTATGGACACCCACTTCTTGTACGCCTTGAATATAACACTGTCGTTAGTACGTCGATTTAGGTACTTAGCATAATCGAGTGATTAATACGTCACCCTAAAGGATTGTTTGAGTCCTCCGTTATCGGCGATGTTCTCCCCCTGCGTCATCCTGCCGTTGATGTGCAAATTGACTTCTTGCAACGTGTATCTGGAGTATTGATCCACGATGCACTGAGCCCTTTGCCTGAAAGCCCTTACCGTGGCATCGTTCCACCATTGCATCATGTTGCCGTCTTTGTCGAACTGGCGGCCTTTGTCGTCGAAGCCGTGGGTGATCTCGTGACCTATCACTACACCGATGCCGCCGTAGTTCAGGGATTTGGGGAAGTGCTGGGAGTAGAAAAGCGGTTGGAGAATGCCGGCTGGGAAAACTATAACAAAATTTGTATGAACCATAATTAAAATTCACAAAATACTCTTCATAATTCATAGAAGGCATAAGAGGACCATTTAACATAAAGCCCTAACAGCCTAAGTCAAGATTTCTCTAGGTTTACTTAGATCAGTCTTAGATTTCACCTAAATGCTAAAATTCTAAGCGGACCTCTTCCCATTTATAATTTGCAAGAGTCTACGTTGCATCTTAAATTCGAAGTCCTTATAGGTACCCATAGCAACCTAGGAGCAAACTATTGAGACATCGTGAATTTCACAAGAGCAACGAGCTCTAATGGCATAGCATAAATATTTAAATGTGCAAATCAGACCTCATCGGAATGGTAGATACAGGCATCCAACTTACCGATGTCGTTCGTATTGGGATTGTAGAAGGCGTTCACAACAGCCGGCTCCGTGGACCATTTGTTCTTATCAACTGGCTTCCGCAGTTTCTGTAGATTATGATAAGCGTCGTATTTCAGCACGGCTAACACGTTCTCCAGGAAATGGTCCTCAGTTATATTCAACTGTACAGTTAAAAGCAAGACACTAGTTAAGAATATGATTTGTGAACATCAAGACATGATACATTATAGAAAATGTTGAAGAATAACAATTTAAGTGTGATCAAGTTATGTACCACTACGTATTCCTTTGACAGTTCAACGGGGTCCTTCAAAAACTCGGGATACCCAATTCTCTCGTTCATGGAGTCAGCTTTGCTTTTAGCGACCGCTCTAGTCTCGTCGTCCATCCAGTGATTTTCCGCTAATAATTCGTTAAATGCTTCGCGTATGGTGCGGATCATCTCTAGTGCTGTTTCCTGAAATGGAAAAAAGAATGAGTGGAATGTATCGTCCGTAGTGATGTGGCGTGACGTTGTACGACATATGGGAATTTGATGAATGGTAGCTGATCGCATGAGGATTCAATGCGCAGGTGTATAGTGCGTAGGAATAGAGTGCATGGAGATATAATGCGTAGTGATGCAGCGCAGAGAGATCCAACACATCGACACACGACGCGTACGGGTCTCAGCGCGTGGGGATACAACGCGTAATGACGCAACGCGTAGGGATCTCGGCGCGTGGGGATTTCGGCGCATAGGGATCTCAGCGCGTAGGGATCTCGCCGCGTGGGAATCTTAGCGCGTAAAGATATCAGCACGTGAGGATCTCAGCGCGTGGGGATCTCGGCGTGTTGGGGTCTCAGCGCGTGGAGGTCTCAGCGCGTGGGGAACTCGGCGCGTGGGGGTCTCAACGCGTGGAGATCCCAGCGCGTGGGGGACTCAACGCGTGGAGATCTCAGCGCGTAGGGATCTTGGCGCGTTGGGGTCTCAGCGCGTGGGGAACTCGGCGCGTGGGGGTCTCAACGCATTGAGATCCCAGCGCGTGGGGAACTCAACGCGTAGGGATCTTGACGCGATGTGGCGTGACGTTGTACGACATATGGGAATTTGATGAATGGTAGCTGATCGCATGAGGATTCAATGCGCAGGTGTATAGTGCGTAGGAATAGAGTGCATGGAGATATAATGCGTAGTGATGCAGCGCAGAGAGATCCAACACATCGACACACGACGCGTACGGGTCTCAGCGCGTGGGGATACAACGCGTAATGACGCAACGCGTAGGGATCTCGGCGCGTGGGGATTTCGGCGCATAGGGATCTCAGCGCGTAGGGATCTCGCCGCGTGGGAATCTTAGCGCGTAAAGATATCAGCACGTGAGGATCTCAGCGCGTGGGGATCTCGGCGTGTTGGGGTCTCAGCGCGTGGAGGTCTCAGCGCGTGGGGAACTCGGCGCGTGGGGGTCTCAACGCGTGGAGATCCCAGCGCGTGGGGAACTCAGCGCGTAGGGATCTCGACGCATAGGGATCTCAGCGCGTGGGGATCTCGGCGCGTGGGGGTCTCAACGCGTGAAGATCCCAACGCGTGGGGAACTCAGCGCGTGGAGATCTCAGTGTGTGGGGATCTCAGCGCGTAGAGATATCAGCACGTGAGGATCCCAGCGCGTGGGGGTCTCAGCGCGTGGAGATCTCAGCGCAGGGTGTCCCAACGTGTAGGGATCTCAACGCGTAAAAATTCGTCGCGTAGGTACCCCTGCGCATAGGGACCCAGCGCATAGAAATCCAACGTGTAAATATCTCTACGCGTAAAAATGTGGAGCGTAGAGATCTCGGCGCGTAGAAAGTCGATGCGTAGGAATTTTAGCGTGTAGAAATCCAACACATGGAAAATCAATGCAAAGACATTTAGAGCCTCACCAGTGCCCTAACGAACCATTACACAACCGCTATCCTAATACCTAAAATTCCTTATACAACTGGCTATATAACAAGAGTCCACTATAAACTTTCAGTCCCATAATTTCTACCTTCCCTCAATTTACCAACGAAGTCCCTCCACTAATTTACCTTGCTATCATGATTGAAGTTATCTCGAATAAAAAGTGCGCCCACAGCCATCCCCAGCTTCTTATTGGTCCAATCAACGCACTGCGACCACCTGTTCCTCTCGCTCAATATCCCCAGCAGTATTTTGCGAAACTCGACCCGTTTCTGCTGGTATTCGTCTATCATATGCGGCATGATCGACATGACTAGTCTCCAGAGTATATAATTATGCAGTGTCCTGCGATTCGTTCTTTGCACAATGCGGCCCATTTGAACGAAATACGGCATGGCGTACGCGACGATCGGTTCTTCGTCGGTGATTGGAGCGCTGATGAACTCTTGAAGGTACTCAATCCACTTCAGTTGCGGGATCTCTCGCTGCAACTCGCGCAGCGTCAACTTTCTGTAAATGGCGGAGGTGTCGTGCCTGTCTGCCTCGGGCATGGATGCCTGGAGTTGCAATGAACTTGTGAAGTTTAATCTGAAATTACTCGAGATGTCAACAGTCGTCTTAATTAAATTCTTACGTTGGCTAATTGCTTTTCGAGAACTATCACGCGCTCGAACTCCACGGCTGCGGTTTGGGGATTAGCTCCGAGGAGTACGGCTACGTTCGTCATGTAACGGTGATACGCCTTCAGTTCGGACTCGCTGTTCTTTTTCAGGTAGTAGTCCCTACTAGGTAACGCCAGTTGCATTTGATCCAACTACAAAAAAATTGAACACTGTACTCTTTCCTTCTTTGTGTAAACGAAGTATCAATTAATTGTTCAATGATAACAATTTTAAATCTCTTCTTTGGACGTATATTAAAAGTAGGACATTTCTTTGCGGTTTTTAGGGAAAGCATTTCTGAATACTAAATTACTAAGATTACTAAGTATTTTACATGACGGTTTACAGCGACTCAGCCTGTATAATTATTCGCATCTTTATATTATGCAGTCGTCGACCAAGGGGCCTTACTTTGCCGGCGCACCTGGAGGATGTTGGCCGAGGAGTTCTTGTCATCAGGACCGACCCATTGTTCTAGCAACACTCCCTCGTTGTATTCGCCACGAAGTCGACCCAGAAGCACCTCCACGGAATACGGTGGTGGTTTCCAGGATGGTCCTACCACCACTGGCCAACCACCAAGATATTCCAGTGTCTTTTTCAGCGGGAGGTCGCCGATTTCCCTGATACGAGCTGTGCAGATAAGAAATTGGGATATTTTATGAGGAACCAACTGTATAGTTATATAGGAGCGATGAAACGTTGTCAATGTTGTAATCTACTTAGGGGTTTTATGGTGAACTCTCAATATATTGCTATGAACGGGACTGTAGAAAAATGTCATTGGCGCGTGGGGAGAATTAGTGCGTGGGTATCTCTGCGCATAGGGATATCAGCGCGTGGAGATATCAGCGCGTGGGGATATCAGCGCGTGAAGATCTCAGCGCGTAGAGATATCAGCGCGTGGGGATATCAGCGCATGAGAATTTCAGCGCGTGAGAATTAGCGCGTGAGGATCTCAGCGCGTGGAGATATCAGCGCGTGGGGATATCAGCGCGTGAAGATCTCAGCGCGTAGAGATATCAGCGCGTGGGGATATCAGCACGTGAAGATCTCAGCGCGCAGAGATATCAGCGCGTAGAGATATCAGCGCGTGGAGATATCAGCGCGTGAGGATCTCAGCGCATCGAGATGTCAGCGCGTGGGGGTCTCAGCGCGTGAGGATCTCAGCGCGTGGGGGTCTCAGCACGCAGAGATATCAGCGCGTGAGGATCTCAGCGCGTAGAGATATTAGCGCGTCGGGATATCAGCGCGTGAGGATCTCAGCGCGTGGAGATATCAGCGCGTGGGGGTCTCAGCGCGCAGAGATATCAGCGCGTGAATATCACAGCGCGTAGAGATATCAGCGCGTGGGGATATCAGCGCGTGAGGATCTCAGCGCGTGGGGATATCAGCGCGTAGAGATTTCAGCGCGTGGAGATCTCAGCGCGTGGGGATACAACGTGCAGTGATGCAGCATGTAGAGATCCAACGCGTCGTCACACAGCGCATAGTGGTCTCAGCGCACAAGGATCTCAACGTTTAATAGTCTCAGCGCGCAGGGATCTCAACTCTTAATAGTTTCAGCGCGCAGGAATCTCAACGCATAGGTATCTCAGCGCTTATTGTTCTCAACGTATAGGGATCTCAGCTTATAGTTCGCAACGCTTGTAATCTCAGCATGTAGCACTGAATACGCCAACGTACATCTCATATTCAACATAGCCCTTCTATACCAATGTAGTAAAGCGTTAATTTGCGTATGATGATTTATATGGATAGGACCTCGTTTAGTCAGCAATATAAAAAGAGTCCACCATAACTATCTTGATTCAAACGGGAATTAGAAATGATTTCAGGAAGAATTTTCGGTGTACCCACGGATGTCCATGCAAGATTTGTAGAACATCTTCGCCTTCAGGGTGGCGTTGTTGTCTTGGTCGTTCGGTGGCTCCTCTAGTACCCTCTTCAGGATCACCTGCAGTTGGTCTGCCAAGACTTCGAAGGTGCTGATCGAGCTACGGTCTTCTGGTATAACGTGGAGACGATTCCAAGTGCCACAGGCGTATTGGAAGAAATTGACGCAAGGTGCTGCTGTTCGATCCATCGCTGATAAGAGACTGGCGGCTGAAATTTAATTATGTGGATGTTTATTTTCTTTTTTTATGTGAAATAGCATGTGTCTCTGTGGCTATGTCTCTGTGTCTGTGTCTCTGTGTCTCTGTGTCTCTGTCTCTGTCTCTGTGTCTCTGTGTCTATGTCTGTGTCTCTGTGTCTCTGTGTCTCTGTGTCTCTGTGTCTCTGTCTCCGTGTCTCTGTGTCTCTGTCTCTGTATCTATGTGTCTCTGTCTCTGTCTCTCTGTCTCTGTCTCTGTCTCTGTGTCTCTGTCTCTGTCTCTGTCTCCTGACTCTGTGTCTCTGTCTCTGTGTTTTTACATATTTTATCTATCTAACTTATAGATTCCATACCTAAAAATTTCATTCAGCACAGTAGTTATTATTTTTAATCTTACTATTACAACCATGCAACCAGTATGATTGATAGAAGACCAATTTTATTTTAACATTCAATTTCCTAGCATTATTAAATTTTTAATGAAACAGTCAATTTTCCAAGAGAAATATTTAATAATTGTTTTCTTTGTGTAACGTCAGAATTTCCCAACCTTACTCCTGTACAAGGGTATTGACAAACATGTTGAGATTAAATTGTGAAGCTGATATTGACACAAGCACATAAAATTGCGCTATCACAGGCAGGAAATTGAATTTCAGTTTCAGTGAAGGGAAAGGACAAACTCGACAACATAAACAGTGAAAAAATATACGGGGAAAGCGTCGAGGCATCGAAGGTCTGCAGACGTGAAATAATTTACAATATTCGTGATTTCAAAATATTTTGCAACTTAATATTTGGAGACATTTTAGAAAACATAGGAATGAATTTTTTTTTTATTAAAATATGTAATGTAACAGGGTAATTTGATTGGTTCGAGCTATCAACCCTTCGATATATCATTTAATTACTCCAGAGTTAATATCACCATTTAATCGAGTGAAAATACTTTAACGAAGCTCGTTGCGGCTTCCCAATTAATTTGATATTCGATAAATTGTCCCTGGCACTAATAACATCACTTTGAAACTTCCAGAGATTTTCTTGTATACTTTCTATATTTTTTCTAAGGATTATGATTTTGATGATCTATGCTCTTCATGATTTTTCTTAAAATATTTATTGTGCATTTTGTTATTTTAACTCTTTGCTGATACAAACTGAATTTACAAATTGTGAAACTAGGAAAAATTTTGAAAAATAAAAATCTGAAATATAGAAATTTGGAAAAATTAAGAATTAAAAAGTGGAAGTCTAAGAAGAAACAAAATGTGTAATTTGAAAAATTTATTATACGTAAATGTATAACTTTTAAAAAGTTAAAATATGAGATCTGAAGAATTTTAATTCAATTATTCACGACAATGAATATATTCCCCAAAGATAAATTTTCAAACAATGAAATAAAGTTACACGTTTGACCGCGTTTGCAGCGATTAAACCGCAGCGCACGCTGCAGCTCGAGTCAGGGAATTTGTGGAGGAACGAAAATCGAGTTGCAGTCAGCTGGCTGCTCGGTCAACAGGCAATTCCCTGGGGAACAGTTAATCTGATTAACGAGTGTGCATGCGTATTCGTGTGTGGCACGCGACGAGGGACATTGCAATTCTCCTCGACCACCAATCACATTTGATCCGATTCTGTTTCCGGATATTTGTCTCTGCTATTTCAATCTCCATTTTTAATACTTCGCAATAAAATCCAATAAATAACAACTTTAATATTACCTGTTCTGACGCACTCCTCTGTCATGCAAACGTTTGGATCTGAAAAAAGTATTTTATCTCATCATCATGTATATCGTCGCGTTTTAAAAATTTTTAGACCTCGCTCAAAAGTGTTGTTGAAACAGTATGTCAGAAAAATAACGGAACTTCTTAAATACAAAGTTATTTTGCCAGAATTAATTTTTTTTATACAAAATACATTCGCATCAATATATCACTAGGCTCACACAACGATGATATAGATTTTTTTATGTCGTTTTGTGGAATCAAACACCCTAGTCACAGCTTCTTGGACTTCTCTTTCTACGAAGAGATTACGGCGCGTGGTATTGCAACGCGGGAAATTACGGTGCGTGGAATTACGACGCGTAGAATTAATAACGAGTGGAGCTAAGACGCGTGGAATTACAACGCGTGGAACTACAAAGCGTGGGATTACGACGCATGGAATTGCGATGCATGAAGTTAATAACGCGTGGAATTACAATACGTAGAATTATGGTGCGTGGAATTACAGCGCGTAGAAGTATGACGCGTAGTATTACAGCGCGAGGAATTACGGCGCATGAAATTACGACGCGTGGAATTAATAACGCGTTGAATAACGACGCGTGGAATTAATAGCGTGTGGAATTACGACGCGAGGTGGGACTACGACGCGTGGAATTACGACACATGGAATTGCGACGCGTGGAATTAATAACGCATGGAATTACAACGCGTGGAATTACGACGCGTAGAATTATGATGCGTGAAATTACGGCGCGTAGAAGTACGGCGCGTGGTATTACGACGCGTGGAATTAATAACGCGTGGAATTACGACGCGTGGAATTAATAACGCGTGAAATTACGGCGCGTAGAAGTACGGCGCGTGGTATTACGACGCGTGGAATTAATAACGCGTGGAATTACGACGCGTGGGACTACGACGCGAGCAATTACGACACATGGAATTGCGACGCGTGGAATTAATAACGCATGGAACTACAACGCGTGGAATTACGACGCGTAGAATTATGGTGCGTGGAATTCCAGCGCGTAGAAGTACGGCGCGTGGTATTACAGCGCATGGAATTACGGCGCATGGAATTACGGCGCATGGAATTACGACGCGTGGAATTACGACACATGAAAAATAAAAATAATAATAATAATCAATTTTAATAATGATTGTTGTGTTTTGCAGGAGAGGTATACTATTTTCAGATAACACATTTTAATAGATTTCGCTACTTTTTCTTAAATTTAAAAAGTTCCCTTACTTTTTCGACATACTGTGTATAAAATACAGCTTTACGCGTACGCGTGAAAGATGCATGTCTCAATTACACGCCTTTATTACTTCTGCCTTCAAAACATCCGGCACAAGCGTCGCAAAAAAGTGTTCGAAATGTTCGAACATATACGCCATTATCGAGACACAATGACTCCTTTGGATCGTTTGATGGTTTGCAGACCTGTGTTAATTAAAAACCCTCTTTGAACAGGCTGCGGTAAAAACTTGCGCACTTAAAACACAGACCTACATACGGTTTCAATTTCTCTTCACAAACAATGCGTGCTTTCAGACTGTTTATTGTTAACTTGTTCAAACAGGGGGACTTTAACACTTGCAAAATTTACGTCATGGCGTTCTATTAAATATTTTGTGTACTTAACCTCAAAATAATGCACCAAGTTAATTTTAACTCAAACCCCTTCTGTAAATATTGTTATATTTAGTATGTTTAGTCTGATTAAAAACTGAATTAGCGCAACACGAAAATTTCGAAATTTTGATGGATCGTTCATGGACGTCAGTGGAACGATTAATACCATGATGGGCGGTTATGAGGTAACGTCGACCTTTTCGAGCAGTGGAACTTGATAGCCTCGACTCCTTTCGACTTGATTGATCATTTTGACTTTCTATTTTCAATATTTTTCTCCCTTGCGCAACCATGCTAAGTTGTCAAATTTCTAAGCCCGAACAAACTGAAAAGCACCTTGACAAAATTAACATCTTGAATATTTTCAGTATGCACTTTAAGAGATATAAAAAAATATTCTCGAAAGATAACAAAATTCCTCGTAAGAATTTTAAATAAATAGAGCAGGTCCCCGGCGATTTGCAAAGAAAGATAAATGAAATTTACGGAAACACGTGAACTGCGAAATGAAACTTTAATGGCTTGTAACCAAGATTAAACCGCAGGAAAGAATGATATTCCCTGGGGCAATTTCACGGGACGAGCTGTTTTCTGCAACTTTCTTCGCGGTGTCCTGTAAAGTTGTAATTAAACTCTGTACCTCGCCGGAAATGGAAGATGGAGGCGGACGAAAGCGGGCCAAACTTTACGCTAAAAGTTCCCGGGGTTTTCTGTTCTGTTTCGCTCAACATTGAGGGCCAATATCCTCTCCATTAACATTCTCGAAATTTCTCTGTTAATTAGAATTGCATCGAACACAATCGTCGCTGGAGCGTTTGCTTCATTTGAATTTCGCGCGCAAAATTACTAGATGCATCATCATGGGACCCATATTGTCTCACAGTCCTTGCACTTGGATTTCGTACTTGCAAATTTGGAAATACAAAAATTCTCAAATTTAGATTTGCAGGTCTACAAACCTTCAAACTCCAAATTACAAATTGATTAATTTTCGAAACGATGGAATCGTCAACGTAGAAATTTTATTTAGATCTGAAGCATAGAGTAAACGAGAGGCGACACTCCTTTGATCTCTCGAAAACGTTACTGTTCTTACGAAGAGATTATGGCGCGTGGTATTGCAGCGCGGGGAATTACGGTGCATGGGAATTAATAACGCGTGGAACTATGACGCGTGGAATTATAACGCGTGGAACTACGATGCGTGGAATTAGGACGCATGGAATTACGACGCGAGGGAATTACAACACGTGGAATTACAACGCGTAGAATTATGGTGCGTGGAATTACAGCGCGTAGAAGTACGACGCGTGGTATTACAGAGCGAGGAATTACGGCGCATGAAATTACGACGCGTGAAATTAATAACGTGTGGAATTACAACGCGTGGGACTACGACGCGTGGAATTACGACGCGTGGATTAATAACGCGTGGAATTACAACGTGTGGAACCACAACCCATGGGACTACGACGCGTGGAACTACGACGCGTGGAATTACGATGGGTGGAATTAATGATGCGTGGAATTACAACGCGTGGGATTAATAACGCGTGAAATTACAGCGCGTAGAAATATAGCGCGTGGTATTACAGCGCGAGAAATTACGGCGCATGGAATTACGACGCGTGGAATTAATAACGTGTGGAACTACGACGCGTGGGACTACGACGCGTGGAATTACGACGCATGGAATTACGACGCATGGAATCAATAACGCGTGGAATTACGACGCGTAGAATTATGGTGCGTAGGATTACAGCGCCTGGAAATACAGCGCGTGGTATTACAGTGCGAGGAATTACGGCACATGGAATTACGACGCGTGGAATTAATGATGAGTGGAACTACGACGCGTGGAATTAATAATGAGTGGAATTACGACGCGTGGAATTAATAATGAGTGGAATTACGACGCGTGAAATTAATAATGAGTGGAATTACGACGCGTGGAATTGCGACGCGCAGACTCTTCATCTAAAGCTTGACTCTATTTGGGATTAAAAATTAGTTCTATTTGAGACTAAAGACTCCATTCGATTTGAAGCTAGTTTCCTAGTCCAATTGCAGCCATAATCCGCTCAGCGTAATGGCGGTCTAACACCTAGGCTTTACACTAGCCACATTGTAGCATGCTTAAGCCCCTCATCGTCGGGCGTTTAATTAATTAGATTACGCGAGTTAACCGTATCGTTCGGCATTGATTCGACTTACGTAGTTCCTGCACGCATTCGCGGCTCGCGTTCAACGCCAACAACAGAAGAATGAAGAGACAAGTGGCGAGAAGAGTGACAGCCAGAACACCGAGCAATTGATGCCTGCTAGCTGGTTCTCTTCGTCTACGGCTGATGGACATGGTCCGCGCCATTCCACCACTCGGCCTTCGACTGTTCTCCGTTTGCTGGAGAACTGTTGTTGTGCTTCCATGAGGACCATATGTAACCTTACATCGAAATGTTTATTACGTTGTTATGTTCAAATTCCAACTTTTTATGAATACATTTATGCTTTATAAAATTCACATTTGGCAGCAAAGAGTTTATTGGGTTTATTGGGATTAGGTTAGGTTAGAGTGGGTTAAGGTTATATTATTTTGGGCTGTGTTAAAATTAGAGTAGATTAGGTGAGGTTAGAATGGGTTAAGGTTATATTATTCTGGGCTATGTTAATATTAGAGTAGATTAGGTAAGGTTAGAATGGGTTAATGTTATATTATTCTGGGTTGTGTTAAAATTAGACTGGATTAGGTAAGGTTAGGATAGATTAAGGTTATGTTATTCTAGGTTACGTTAAAATTAGACTAGAATAAGTAAGGTTAGGATGGATTAAGGTTACATTATTCCAAGCTACGTTAAAATTAGACTAGATTGGGTAGGGTTAGGATAGATTAAGGTTGTTATTCTAGGTTATGTTAAAATTAGACTAGAATAGGTAAGGTTAGGATGGATTAAGGTTAAATTATTCCAATCTACGTTAAAATTAGACTAGATTAGTTAAGGTTAGGACAGATTAAGGTTATGTTATTCCAAGCTACGTTAAAATTAGACTAGATTAGTTAAGGTTAGGATAGATTAAGGTTATGTTATTTTAGGCTACGTTAAAATTAGACTAGATTGGGTAAGATTAGGATGCATTGAGGTTTTATTATTTTAGGCTATGTTGAAATTAGACTAGATTGGATAAGGTTAGGTTAGATCAAGGTTATATTATTCTAGACTAAGTTAAAATTGGACTAGAGTGGATGAGGTTAGGATAGATTAAGGTTATATTATTCTATGCTATATTAGAATTAAACTACATTGCATGAAGTTAGAATTAGTTTAAATTTAGTTAGGTTCACTCAAGATTATATTATGTCAAGTTAGATTAAATTCAGATCAGATTAGGTTATGTTAAAACTACACCAGAAACTGAATTACAGTTAGGTCGAATTAATTTAAGTTTAGTTTGGCTCAGTGAGGATTGTACTAGTTCATATTAAGTTCATTCGAATTCAGGATACATTATGCTAAGTTATGTTAAAATTAAACCAAATTAGGTCAGGTTAGGACTAGTTTAAGTTCAGTTAGGTTAACTCAAAATTATACTAAGTCAAGTTAGGTTAAGTCAAATTGAAATTACATTAAGTCATATTAAACCTAGATCAGAAGTAGTTGAATTACAGTTAGGTTGGGTAAAGTTAAGTCAAGTTAGATTAAGTCAAATTGAAATTACATTAAGTCATATTAAACCTAGATCAGAAGTAGTTGAATTACAGTTAGGTTGGGTAAAGTTAAGTCAAGTTAGATTAAGTCAAATTGAAATTACATTAAGTCATATTAAACCTAGATCAGAAGTAGTTGAATTACAGTTAGGTTGGGTAAAGTTAAGTCAAGTTAGATTAAGTCAAATTGAAATTACATTAAGTCATATTAAACCTAGATCAGAAGTAGTTGAATTACAGTTAGGTTGGGTAAAGTTAAGTCAAGTTAGATTAAGTCAAATTGAAATTACATTAAGTCATATTAAACCTAGATCAGAAGTAGTTGAATTACAGTTAGGTTGGGTAAAGTTAAGTCAAGTTAGATTAAGTCAAATTGAAATTACATTAAGTCATATTAAACCTAGATCAGAAGTAGTTGAATTAAAGTTAGGTTGGGTAAAGTTAAGTCAAGTTAGATTAAGTCAAATTGAAATTACATTAAGTCGTATTAAACCTAAATCAGAAATAGCTGAATTAAAGTTAGGTTGGGTAAAGTTAAGTCAAGTTAGATTAAGTCAAATTGAAATTACATTAAGTCGTATTAAACCTAGATCAGAAATAGCTGAATTATAGTTAAGTTAGGCAAAGTTAAATTGAATTCGGTTCACTCAGCATTATACTAGCTCAACTTAGATTAAGTCAAATTCATATTAAATCAAGTTACATTAAAACTAGACCAGAAGCAGTTGCATTAAAGTCAGGTTAGGTCTACTTAAATCGCGTTCACTTGAGGTTAGTCCGAAGAAGATCAAAATGACATAGATGAAGTTAAAATTACTCACACAAAGTTTGCCAATTTCATTCATTTCATTTGTACATCAAACTACTCAGCATCACCAAAGTCATCCATCATACTCAAAACAATATATACACGCACAAAATCTTGAATGAAATGTTACTATAATTATCTTTCCAAGATCCCACATAATAATACCGCCTTACTTGAAGAGTATTAGCAGCAGGTGTCTCCTGGCCGGCCACACCGGTGATCTCGTTCTGTTCGGTGATGACACTAAGGTAGCCGTTGTTGCCTTCCGCCTTCATCCTCGATCCTCGACAACGTCCTTTGATCAGAAACTGGAGCACACAAGTCCGAATTTCAACCCGGCAACTGTGTCAACGACCGGTGTAACGTTGACATCGCGATCAGTCTTGGATACTCGATCGATCAAGGGACCTCTTCAGGGATTAACTCTTGATCCACCTTCCAGCCTCAAACTCGCCACTCGCAAGTTAAAATACAAAAGCAACGCGGTCACTGGGGACGGACTTCAAGCACGTTGTTGACGCAGAGTTCACAGACAGAATGTTGAGGACAGAGGTCGCGTTCAGGCAGCTTTTCAGTTCCGAAAGGATCTGTGACCGCCGTGCTACTGACGAGTACTACGGACACCTCGCAGTCTCGCACCACCCGGAGGTGTCCCTGTCCCCTCCACTTGCGCTCCTCACCCCTCGCAACCCTCGATTTTGTTTACAACGCGAATCCACCCGACGGAGGACTCTCGGTGCGGCTTCTTTTCTACGGCATATGCTCGGTTTTTACAGCTGATCTTTCAATTTTGAATAAGGACTACCGACATTAAAGAAGAATGAAAAATAAATACTAAAGCATCAAGTAACATATAGAACTAGTTTTTATCTTAACAAAATGTGACAGACATTTCCATAAAATCACAATAATAAAATTAGAAATCTGAAATCAGTCACTTTGACTGGTTGGTAGTTCTAGTATTAAAATGACTACTTAATATGTTATATATATTTGATGTCATATATGTTTAAATTCAGTTGTATATATTATATATATTTGATATGTATTGCAATGGATAAAATTATGAAAATGAACAATTTTTCATATTTGAACAATTAAATATGTTATATGTATTTGATGTCATATATGTTTAAATTCAGTTGTATATATTATATATATTTGATGTGAATTGCAATGGATAAAATTATGAGGGAGAACAATTTTTCATATTTGAACAATTAAATATGTTATATATATTTGATGTCATATATGTTTAAATTCAGTTGTATATTATATATATTTGATATGAATAGCAATGGATAAAATTATGAGAGTGAACAATTTTTTATATTTGAACAATAAAATATGTTATATATATTTGATGTCATATATGTTTAAATTCAGTTGCATATATTATTTATATTTGATATGTATTGCAATGGAAATTATTTTTAATCTTGACAATGTTTGATGAGAAATTTTAATATTTATGTTATGCGATTTGTTTAATCAATTTTGAAAGTTAGGAAAATTTACATAACCTCAAATCGGCGTATCTCGAGTGTTAATAGATACGGTTTACCTGGGGTGACACGGTTCGTTGATCAGAAGGTTGCGTGCATCGACATCATCGTTCGCTTGCTCCACAAATTCACCCTCCTCTACGTTCCAGCCCCCCTCTCTCGCTGTATCCCGGGTCATTTTCTACATGCCAAATCTCTCTGATATGGCCGATATCTGCCTCTAGAAAATATACTGCAGAGAAAACAGCAAATAAATTCAGAACTTTTGCTTTTGAATATTATTTATTTCAATATTTATATTTCTGTCTTTGTTAAATCAGTGTCTGGAAAAAGTTCTGTAAGTTTCTTATTTTATTATACTTGCTATAATTTTCATACGTGTGCACAATTTTTGAATCGCCCTGTAGTTAAGTGAATTTTTGAAGAATTTTTATTTAAGTTTAATAAATTGTTTAAAGATTGAGCTTCGTTTTCATAAGAAATTTGTTGTATATAACTTTGAAGTGACAATTCAATCAAATTGTCATATAATTTTTATAGGCGTCCACAACTTTTGAATCGCCCTATAGTTGATTTTTCAAAGAATTTTTATTTAAGTTTAATAAATTGTTTAAAGATTGAGCTTCGTTTTGATAAGAAATGTATTGTATATAACTTTGAAGTGACAATTCAATCAAATTGTATAATTTTTATAGGCGTCCACAACTTTTGAATCACCCTGTAGTTAAGTGATATTTTTAAAGAAGTTTCATTTAATTTTAACAAATTGTTTAAAAATTGAAGTTCTTTTTATATGATTTTTATATGCATGCAGAGCTTTTGAATCGCCCTATAGTTGATTTTTCAAAGAATTTTTATTTAAGTTTAATAAATTGTTTAAAGATTGAACTTCTCTTTGATAAGAAATGTATTGTATATAACTTTGAAGTAACAATTTAATCAAATTGTCGTATAATTTTTATACCCATCCACAACTTTTGAGTCACCCTGTAGTTAAGTGATATTTTTAAAGAAGTTTCATTTAATTTTAATAAATTGTGTAAAGATTGAAGTTCTTTTTGATAAGAAGCTTGTATACAGGTGATTGTTGCTATAGACAAGTAATTTATAGTTGATGGTAAAACATCCCCTGCGTAGTCTAAGCATCGATCGATTATCTCGGTTCCTCTATTAATATCTTTAGCTTATATCAATTTACGTGATATCGAGTATGCTTATTTTAATAGCGCCCATGAGATTCCATGCAATTTGTCAGCCTTAAGTCATGCAATAAATCATGCTATAGCACTGTGTTATAATACAAATATCAATTATGTTATCCTTTGAACTAAAATTGATGGAATCCTCAAACTTAAATTTTAGGAAAATTGAAATAATTTCTAGCGTAACCTAACCTAACAAGAGAAAAAAAACACAACTTATCTATGAATTTCATTATTGTTTATGGACTTAAATTCTAGCGTAAACTAACCTAACATGAAAAAAAAGAACATAAATTGTCTATGAATTTCATTATTGTTCATGGACTTAAATTTTATTCATCGACAATTAATTTTGAACTCAAAGTATATAATTAGCATAAGTTATAATAAAAAATACATAATCTAACATAACCTAACCTAACATGAGAGGAAACACAACTTGTCTATGAATTTCATTATTGTTCATGGACTTAAATTGTATTTATTGACAATTAAGTTAGAAGTCAAAGTACTGTAACCATATTACTATTACAAAATTGATCTAACCTAACCTAACATAACTGAGAATATCTTTGCTATAATTGATTTTCTAAAATAACGAAAAAGTGTTCAATTAAAAATACAGTAACAAATTTGTCAATAATATTGATTCTTTTATTTGTTACAGTACTCAAAATCTTCTTATCGCATTACTATTACAAAAGCCTTGATTTAACCTAACCTAACCTAACTGAGAATATCTCTGCTATAATTAATTTACTAAAGCAATGCAAGAACGTGTTCAATTAAAAATTCAGTAATAAGTTAAAAATATTGACTCTTTTATTTATTAAAGTACTAAAAATTCCCTTATCACATTATTACTACAAAAAACCTTGATCTAACCTAACCAAACCTAACTGAGAATATCTCTGCCTGCTATAATTAATTTACTAAAGTAATGCAAGAACATGTTCAATTAAAAATACAGTAATAAGTGAACAATATTGACTCTTTTATTTATTAAAGTACTCAAAATCCCCTTATCACATTATTACTACAAAAAACCTTGATCTAACCTAACCAAACCTAACTGAGAATATCTCTGCCTGCTATAATTAATTTACTAAAGTAATGCAAGAACGTGTTCAATTAAAAATTCAGTAATAATTTAACAATATTGACTCTTATTTATTAAAGTACTAAAAATCGCCTTATCACATTATTACTACAAAAAACCTTGATCTAACCTAATCAAACCTAACTGAGAACAACCTAACCTAACAGAGAATATCTCTGCTATAATTAATTTATTAAAGTAATGCAAGAACGTGTTCAATTAAAAATTCAGTAATAAGTGAACAATATTGACTCTTTTATTTATTAAAGTACTAAAAATCCCCTTATCAGATTATTACTACAAAAAGCCTTGATTTAACCTAACCTAACCTAACCTAACAGAGAATATCTCTGCTATAATTAATTTATTAAAGTAATGCAAGAACGTGTTCAATTAAAAATTCAGTAATAATTTAACAATATTGACTCTTATTTATTAAAGTACTAAAAATCGCCTTATCACATTATTACTACAAAAAACCTTGATCTAACCTAACCTACCCTAGAATATCTTTGCTATAATTGATTTTCTAAAGTAACGAAAGAAAATGTTAAATTAATACAGTAATTTTGTTGACAATATAGATGCTCTTGTTTATTAATCTAACAGGGTTGTTGTGCAAGGGTTGAAACGAGAGGGGTTTGAGGCCACTTGTTTACCTGTAGTGCATGCAACAAGCGGTTGATCAGACATACCACGTTATTGAGGATTATTTGCAATATACTCTGCAGTGACAAAATAAAGGGGTGGTGCATACAGAAATCGAAATAGGGTGAGTAATTAAAGAATTAAAAATTAGATTCTCTACCATAATTTAAACTTAGGCTAAATACAAACTAAAAAAAAAATTTAGTATCAGAAAAATCTCCTTTTTATTAAAAAAATATTACTACTTAAATAACGCTTGAATAATTTTTGAAATTCTTCAAAATAAAATAATTTTTGAAAATAAAAGATGTGAGAGAAATAAAAGAAGTTTAGGTGAAAATCATTTTTGTTACAAATTAAACAAAAAATTAGTGCCAATGAGTTGTTATATAAAATTAAAAATTGCCAACATTTAAAATATTAAAAAAAATGAAATATTTAAAACCAAATTTATTTATTACCTTTTCAGTTATCTCCAAATTCAAAAGCATTAGTACTAAAAATTCACCACTCATCGAACGACCACCCTTCATCCCCCTTATTGTTTACACGGTATTGTCCTCGCAATGTTGTTTAAACAAGCACCACTAAAATTTACCGACTGTTTACACAACCAATATACGAAACCTGCAAAATCTCGTAAATTTTACAATTTTACATCTTTTTATAATAAATAAAATATTAAACTATCCACACAGAAACTATGTGACATTTTAACAACCATGCAAATTGTCATAAATTATTTTTATTCAGTTTATATCAATATCTTGTGTTCTCATATGAAGGCAGAATTTTGCGTTCCGATGGGAAAAGTGGATTAAAAAAACGCGAACACGGACGACGGTCAATGCTGGACTGACGAGGAAATTTCGGCGCGGCTGCGCCCCTCGCGCCAACTCCACGCGACAGCGCACTTTTTCCCTCTTTTTTTTATTTCCACTTTTTTCGAACGCTCCGAAAACTTTCCTCTCGAGGTGACCGAAATTTTTGATCGTTGATGGAACTGTTTAGAGAGCTCGCGCTAATTGGGGGTGTGTAACTTTATGGTATTTGCGCGCTTTACATTCCTAATTAGCGACTCGTTAATGACCATGAGTAAACTTTTATACTCCGATAATTTTGGTAATTTGAAAACCTTCCACCCTTAATGATTATCTCGAATTTAAAATATTGACAAAAATTTTCAATTTTGAAAAATTGGAATTTTGAGAAATTGAAATTTTTTTATGAAGAATTTTGATCTTACGATTGTTGTTTGTATTGCTCCTCCGTTAATCGTTACTTTTGATTGCTGTTGCTACTGCGGTTGTGACTGCGTTTTACGAAGTTGTTACTGCTACAAGTCGATATCAGGCATGCGCCGTAATTATGAATTCTCGTCATTATCTTAATCTTGAAAAATCACGCAATTTAGCAATCTCTTAATCATTACCACTGGACTAAACACTGAACTTGATTCAACTTAAAAAAGGTTGAAAATATTCGCCAACAATTTAATAATCTAAATTTAATTGAAATAATCTTAATTTAAAAATTTAATAACTTTTAATAATCTGACCATTAGTTATCAAATTTTACTGTAATGCGATATAATGCGTGGAATACGAGATACTGCCATATAACGCGAGGGTACCGAGGGTATAACGTATCATAGCGTGTAATTATAACGCGTGAAAATACGACGCGAGGTCATAGAGCGTTAATCCAATACAAGGTAATATAACTCGTGGCAATATACCGGGTGGTACAATTCGATCTCCAAGCTTCAACTCCCCAAATGCATCGCAAACCGTGAAACAAATTATTATGCATAGAAACAAATAGTTTTGAAATAGCATTAATTGCGAATCAGGTTAATCGTACTAAGAAACAGCAGCAGATGCCGGTAATGTATGCAAAACGGCGTGTTGCATACGGTGAAACGCGAGTGCAGAGTCGAGACGTTTTCTTAAATGGTGTAACAAATTTGCAAGCCGTCTCTGAATTATTGAACAGGCGTGACGCAACCGTGGGACGCGAATCGAATTCATTATGATGCACAAAAGGCGGCCGAACGAAGGTATTAAAATGCAAACAGAGAGAGAGAAGAGTAGTATACACGCGAACGATGTGGGTGACACAATAACGATAATCATCGGCTATATAATTATCGTCCTTGTCATTCACTGCTCGTACGCTCGAAGATGCAATTGAAATTGTTTTGAAAGCGAAACTGCGAATGCATCGTTAAATTTCACTCGCGGTCACAATGAAGTATTTCTTTTTTGAACGCCCTGTATATGCATCTTAAGAATGCATATTTTAAATGCACTTTGACTTTAAATGAAAGTCTGAGGAGGTTAGGTTCATTTAGATGGCGTCTGGTTACGGTTAGATTTGGTTATAATCAGGTTAGGTTATTTTACGTCAAGTTTAGTTATAGTCAGGTTAGGTTATAGTCAAGTTAGGTTATTTTAGTTCAGGTTTGGTTATAGTCAAATTAGGTTATAATCAGGGTAGGTTATTTTACATCAAGTTTGATTATAGTCAGATTATGTTATAATCAAGTTAGGTTATATTACATCAGGTTTGGTTATAGTCAGATTAGGTTCCAATCGGGTTAGGTTATTTTACATCAAGTTTGGTTATGATCAGATTAAGTTATGATCAGGTTAGGTTACTTTAAATCAAGTTTGGTTATAGTCAGATTAGGTTGTAATCAGGTTAGGTTACTTTAAATCAAGTTTGGTTATAGTCAGATTATGTTATAATCAAGTTAGGTTATATCACATTAGGTTTGGTTATAGTCAGATTAGGTTATAGACAAGTTAGGTTATTTTAGTTCAGGTTTGGTTATAGTCAAATTAGGTTATAATCAGGTTAGGTTATTTTAAATCAAGTTTGGTTATAGTCAAATTAGGTTATAATCAGGTTAGGTTATTTTAAATCAAGTTTGGTTATAGTCAGATTATGTTACAATCGTATTAGGTTTGCTTACAGTCAGTTTAAGTATAGCAACATCATGACAGAATGTTGAGGCTGGCTTAATAACCTACGACTATAATTAGATAGTCGTTTAATTTGTCGTATCAGCAAATTCCTTAGAGATTAGTTTCTAAAATTATTTACTCAATTCAGTATTTTATAGACATACATAGTTTAGTCTTTGCTCGTCTCAGGACTGATAACTTATCTGTTTATTGTATACATGTTCAAGTGCTATTTTAAAAAAATAATAATCATTAATTGGAGAAGGAAAAGCCTTGAGATAGTTGACTAATTATAAGCGATATCAGAGCAATTAGCTGACAGTTACTGTAAATAGTTTTCCATGAGGGTAACGTTTTAGGTGAAAGAACTTAAGGTAACAAATTATAAATACATTGTTTATAATTGTTTACATATTTTATTTAAAATATTTTTATTGTTACTCACTTTTTTGTACTTCATTTATCGTTACTATCTTCCTTGCACAAGTTTCTATAGTTTTATATGTACTTTAATGTCCTTACAACGATCCGTATATTAAGAACATTCAAAATTCCCGCGCTATCTGGTCCTTATACTCCAACCCTACACTAGAAACTGTACTCAACCCCACAAAATTCAAAACTAATCAATCACGAGTATACTACTATTATTATGCTCTGAAACAAGAAATATTAAAAGATAATACTTAAATCTACCAAATATTCGTTCATCAACATAAGCAATTTTAAAATTCCCGCGCTTAGTCCTTGCAACGCTCTCCTATCTAGTTATTCTCTCCCAGTCTCACCCAACTGCGCTGCTCCTGTTCCCGACACCTCCAAATCCCGGGAATAACAAAATTAAACCACTTGTAAAATGAAATCGCTCGTAAAATGTATTATTATAACAGAAACATTCCGATGCAATTCCACGATTGATTTCTGCAACCTGCAAGGTAGCGCCATCTCGTCGAACAGTGTTCAGTTGCATCCGTGCATGGGTCCGTGGCAGTAGGCGAAATTGTGTTTCGTCGGACGGTTCGTTTATTCGTGTTCGTCGTTTGAAGTTTCGCAAAGCCGACGAAAATGTGGTCGACGGTTTACGAACCGGCCAACGCGGGTCTGAAGTTCGTTTGAAAAGCGTTGTGGAGCAGCGATACATTTTAGGTTAAAACTCTTGGTTGTCGGGTGCATAACAATGCATTGCGTGAGAAATTCGTGCGGTGAAAGTGTCTCGGACGCCGTTCGGTTGGAAATCCGACGAAACGAACATTGTTACGAGTCCGCCCGCTCCTTCTCCTCTTGAGCATCTTTTTTTCCCGTGCGCCCTTACGTCGCCCGCAAGGAAGCGAAAAAATGCCGAGACTCGAGTGGCGATGATTCGACTCGAATTTCATCGTCGCCTTCGTCGATTTTCGTATAGTGTTTCTCTGCTCGAGACCGTAAACACACTCATCCCCATAGCGACGATCACGCGCGGGGACGGAATGGAAACGTAACTCCTTTCGAGGCTGATTTTTCTCGTTAAAAGGTAATCGATGTTTCTACTCCGTCTGGACCTCCCTTTCTATCGTTCAAGGCGATAACCTTAGCGACCGACTCGAGATGAGCGTTGCTTTTGCTTTGATTATTTTTTCCAGTTTGGTGATTGTGGTTTGTGTCCTTCATCAAGCTTTTCCTTTCTGTGTTCTCTGTTTTTGCTGAGTAAATGATTAAGTGTTCTATCGATAATGAGTGACCGAGTGTTTTATTGAATCATCTTTTATGAACACAGGGTATAAGTGATTGCATGACGTACATTCTTTTATATCAGCCTGCAGAGTACATTGGCATAAAAGTATTTACACTGTACACATGGTCAATTTATGTCTGACTTTTTTTGTTTGGACTCATAAAGCAATGCATGGTATGGCATGCGCCAGCAGTGCCTGCACTCACGGCTAAACATTATTTCATTTCCTGTTTGAGGGGAGACCAGAATGAATGATAAATGTATCTGTATCATTTCATATGCTCACACAATGGCTTTGGTACTAATTGCTTGAATAATTCACAGTACTCTGTAACAGTAAAAATAAAGAAAGTTCAAGTTATATAAAAATTGCCTCGCAATTGTAATGTATGCCTTCTTTCTAATATTTAAAACACACCTTCATTATAATACTTGTAATATGCACTGTCTTTGTACTATTGTAAAATTTAAATAAATAAAGTATTCTTTCAATGTTTTCCTACAATCTTACTGCAACAACTAACTGTACAGTCCAGTAATTATTTATTGGAACACATGACTTATATTTAATTATTCATAACAATTGATTTCTTGTAGCACATTAGAAGAACTGAATATGGCTGATGATGAGGGAACCGAATGGCTGCAAGAACTATTGCACGATGTCCAGCTTTCCCAATTCTTCACCAGGATACGGGATGATCTGCAAGTCACAAGACTGCACCACTTTGATTATGTGCAATCAGAGGATCTTGAAAAGATAGGTCTTGGAAAGCCAGGCATCAGGCGTCTGTTAGATGCTGTTAAGAAAAAGAGAACCACACAATGGAAGAAAAGCTTGATGACCAAGATCAGACCTGGGGGTAGTACCAAAAGTAATAAAAGATCCTCTCAGCCAGTTGAAGGTTCCTCTGTATTAACATGTCTGATTCAAGACAAAGATGTAATGCTATCGATAAAATTGGGAGATGGTAGTTTTGGTGTTGTTAGAAAGGGAGAATGGACATCTCCTTCAGGTAGAACATTGCCGGTTGCAGTGAAGGTTCTTAAAGCAGATGCTTTAACGCAGCCAAGCGTCATAGAAGATTTTGTTTCTGAGGTTCAAGCAATGCATACACTGGATCATCATAATCTCATCAGGTATGTGCTGTCGAAAACCTTTAAATTAACTATTTTCACTAATAAGTTGATCTTTCTAGATTGTATGGTGTGGTATTGTCACAACCAATGATGATGGTAACGGAACTTGCACCTCTTGGAGCATTGCTGGACTATTTGCGGAAACAGGGTGGCCGGATTTCAGTATTAACCATCTGCAATTACGCGTTGCAAGTAGCCACCGGAATGGCGTATTTAGAAGCGAAACGTTTTCTACACCGCGACCTGGCTTGCAGAAACGTTCTTCTGAGTACAGTGGACAAAGTGAAAATCGGTGATTTCGGCCTAATGAGGGCTCTACCTCAACAGGAAGACTGTTACGTGATGACGGAACACAAGAAAGTGCCGTTTCCCTGGTGTGCACCCGAATCTCTCAAAGCGCGTCAATTTAGCCACGCATCCGACGTTTGGATGTTCGGTGTGACGTTGTGGGAGATGCTCACGTTCGGCGAGGAGCCCTGGGTTGGTTTGAACGGGTCAGAAATTTTGAGAAAGATCGACAGAGAGGGAGAACGATTACACGAGCCGGAAGCAACGCCACCGGTCATGTATCAGCTGATGTTGCGTTGCTGGGCTCGAGAACCGTCAGAAAGACCGACCTTCGCTTCCTTGCGAACATCCCTCACGGGTATGGTCCCAGCTGTAATGAAGGCGGTGAATCATTTCGAGGAGACCGATAAAATGACCATCGAACAGGGTGACCAGATAGTCATTTTGGATGGTCGGCCAGAAAATTATTGGTGGAAGGGTCAGAATCAAAGAACTTTCCAAATCGGACTGTTCCCTCGTTGCTTAGTTGATCCTATGAGACGCAAGCAACCGGAAGACATCAGTAAACCGCTCGAAAATTCTTTCATTCATACTGGACACGGTGCACCTTTCGGTAAAAGCTGGGGGAGTCCTATTTACATAGACGACGTGTATCTGCGAAATCCTATGGAACCTCCCGACGTTGTAGGGGTCGCAACGGCGCCCGACAGTCACTTGAAAAAGAAATTCTCCTGCGGCACTCCGCGATCGAGGAAGCAGTTCAATTACACGAAGCTTCAGAACGATATACGAGCTAGTCCTGTGAAATCAACGAACACCTCGGCTCCTAGCAGCAGCCAAGAAGGCAGTTTGATCGATTTATCTCCGGAGGAGATAGTGAACACGAACGTGGCACAGTCTGATACTGCCTGTCGTCGGGTAGTCAATATCCTGGACGAACCTATCGACGACATGGAACGACAGCAGACGAACTGGCAGGAGGATGATCCCCGGACTTATGCCAACTTTCCGGGGAACGTCGATCCTGCTTATTCGGATCCTTTCGACACGTCCTCGGTGTTTATGAAGCTTCCGCACTCGAGGTATTACAGCCATGTTCCGTCTGACGTTAGCAGTAGATACTTTAAGACCCAGACGTACGGGAATGTACAGAACCAAGACGCCAGCAGCAGTCAAGGCAGTGCAAACTACTTTGCCCCAGAATCTGGGTCAGACGTGAATCATTATTCTATAAACCTGAGCAAAGAGAACAGAAACGACAGTATTAATTTGAACGTGAACGTCGACGCTGAAGAGAGTAACGCATACAGTCAGAACCACTATACCGAAATAGACAAACCTAGTCCTCCCATGCCGAATTGGTCTAACTGGCCAGAGGATATGCAAACAGAGTCGCAGACGTACGTAAACGTGGCCAGCCGGAATTTACCCAGTGCCGAGGTACCTCCCCCTCCACCTGCCGCCCCTAACGAGAGTCCTGTGAAGCCAAAATCGAACCATGACCTAGCACAAACTCTGAGCGAGCTGACAATAAACGCTCACAACGTTTCTCCTAAAAAGTTGGACCCAGCCTTCCTAGCCGAGTTGGAGAAACATCTGGGCGAGAAGGAGGCAAGCAAGAATATGAACGCCAGCCAGCAAAATCCGGAGTCCTCCGACCCATACTCTTCCGTGAACAAGTTACAAGAGAATACGATCCCGGCGTTGAGACCTCCACCTCAATCTGCGAAACCCAAGTCTCCACAGATCGACTACAGGAGCAACAATCTACCCAGCAAGGTACAGAACTCCTGGCAGTCGAAGACTTCGAATATTCAACAACCTCGTACGCAGCCTGAACAACGAGTCCTCGAGACGAGCACCGAGCAAATGGTCGGCCAAATTTGGCAGCAGTCGCAAACGCCTCAGCTCGGTACCTACGGTAATACTCAGGCGAACTTGAACCTGTTACAAATCGCGCCCAGTAACTTAAGCAACCAGTGCAACGTGTCCAAGACGAACTTCAACCACGGGCAGAACTCGTTGCCCGCGGTTAATCAGGCTGCCCTTCCGAACCCTCCTATATCGAATGCGAGCCACGGGATAACTCAGATCCAGAACGACCTTCAACAAGCACACTCCAGTAACGTCGTACCTAAGCCTGCCAGTGTGGTGTTCTCGGAGCAGGTGTACGCGGAGCTGAAGCAGACGGTGCCAAATCTGGACCAGTTGTCCCAGAACGAGTTCAACACTCTGTACAATAAGACTGTCCAACAGAATATCCTCAGGAACCACTACGCCACTAGCGGATCGACCGCCTCGAATTCGACCTGCAACCTAAGTCACAACCACCATCCAGAAGGAACAGCCAGCACCTCCCAAGTCCGTTCTGCTCCAGCAAGAAACCTCTTGGTCCAAAGTCATCCCTGCGACTTCAGTCCCCATTTGAAGCAACCTCCCGTGTACAATCCCCCTCCTCCCGCCTGGAGTCCTATCAAGTCCGTCCAGAACGGACTGGTTCAGGTCCAGAACGTCGCGGCCAAGTCCAATTTAGCGAGCAATCTGGCGACCAATTCTAATCTGCTGCAACTAACGCACACGAACGTACCTCAAGAGGGCGTCGTGACGCCACAAACCTCCGTGACGCGAGTTCTGCCTCCTCAGATGAACGAGACGGTCGTTAATACTCAATTAGCTCCCTCCGCGTCCGCGTACCCCTCCGGTGTCAGCCCCCCTTTGACAGCCGCCTCTCAGCAGCTGGTCATGTCCCTCAACGACGAGTTCCGAGCAAACAAAGTGATGAAGGTGCAACGAGAGGCGACCGACGCGTCGCAACAGGAAATACTCACCGCGCTGCAGGCCACTGGCTGGGACACTAATCAGGCGGCCAAACAGATCCTGAAGGACAGGCAGGCTAAGATCGAATCCCTTTTCAGGTACGTTCGACACTTTGTTCTGCTCGCGGCAGATGAAAGGTTGAAAGAAAAATGGACCAAAGGGTTTGTAGTGATGGGTTTGAGCGGTGTTTTGTTCTTTTGAAAATGGATACTGTACAATGTGGATACAGTACAATGGCGGGATAGGGATTAGCTTTTGTGGAGGGAGGGTGCAAGGGACTTGGTGTGAATTTGCAAGGGAATTTACACTTTGTTGCAGACTTAAAGTAGGTGTGAGAGGAGATGTCTAGGAAGGGCTCTTGTTAGATTCTCTGAATTTTGTCTAAACCCCTAATTTCCAAGTCTCCTAAGCTCTCAGATTTCCATTGCGTCCTCTTCATACTCCAAATCCCCAAGTCCCAAAAATTTCTAAATTCCCTAGACCCTCCTCAGGTCCTCCCTAGATCTGTTCCCTCCTCGCCTATTATTGAAAGGACGTGAGCCACATATGTGGTCCATTTTATCTTGTCAATATTTTCACCTAAAAACGAATCGAAACTTTTTGAGTCTACAATCCTCCATATCGTTCACAGCTCGTTTAACATTCCATTCACTTTCTTTTCGCGGGTTTTCGCCCGTTTCTATTTGCACGCTCGTGAAATTTCGTCACTCAGTTGAAACGATGCTAAACGCTAAGAACAGTTAACGCAAACAATTTCCATTTTTTCGAAATCATAAACAATCATTATACAATCAGCCGAGTTAAGAGTCATTATATAATAGAGATCATTGCGATTTCAGATTAGGCTTGGCAGACAGACAGCAGTGCGAGGGTGCTCTGAAGCAGACTGAATACGACGTAGATTTAGCGGCCTCCGTCTTGTTAGACCAGGTCAGATGAAGACAGACTCAACCGTCACGAAACCAATACTTGAAAATAGTGTAAAATAACTGTAGCGATATATATACCGTGTTAAACGTAATGTATATTTATAAACGATAGCCGTACACGCGTAAGCACGAGGCTACGAGCTGCAAGCATAGAAAGTTAGACAGGTGCCTCTTCGAGGGTTTCTAAATGATCGAGAAACAATTGCATTCCAGAATGAAGAGAATACTTCCGTAGCGACGTTGCTTTTTAGCTAGCGTTATTACATTGAAACGGACAGAGGTGGCTGATATTCGACAAAATTTCCATTTTTCTTTTTATGTCGAATTACTCTTTCATTTCTTATAGAGTCGATGTCTAATCTTCGTGTGGATAGTCAAGTTCCTGGAAAAATGTCACAAAATTGAGATTCTTTGGACACTTAGCTTTTGGGACTACCAGTTAGTTTTTGCAAAATGTTAAGTATGAAGAGTTTAGGAACTTAATTACCCATAGGAGGATTAGTTGTAAATTTTGGAAGAAATATTTTTTGATAGAATTTTGTTCAGTACACCTCCGTTCACTCGTGTTGGAAATAAGATACAGGGTGTTTCAGAAATCAGTTTTATTTTTGAATATCTTCCACTAATTTCACGAACTGACTTCGCATAAAGATGACTGCCAAATATGGGACTCACTTTTGAGACACTCTGTATTTAGCAGTTTCACCTCCCGTTCAATTTTTACCGAACGTCTTCCCCTGCGTCATCCACGAGTGAACAAAACGATCGTAACAGATACTATATTTTCGTCCAATAGTTGAGAAGTTCTTCGCGTCGGTGAACCGTTTATAATTGTGGCTACGTGACCGGAAGTGAAACGGGTCACTGTGTTCCGTTCAGCTGAATTCTATGTAAAAGTCTTCTCTTTCTTATATGGTTCATACATATTCATGACATATTGCCGTGAAAGTACTCGTAAACTTTTTATGATTCCGCTAAGGTAGATAGAAAACGATAGTGTCATCGATTACGAGACATGAATGTTATTACTGCAACTATTGCTTTGAATCATTAACATGCAGCAGACTTCTTTAGAAAAATGGCAATATAAGGGAAGGACTTTTATCATTTATTGTAAAATTCTTTAAGAAAAATGGCAATATAAGGGAAGGACTTTTATCATTTACTGTAAACTTCTTTAGGAAGAATTGCAATATAAGGGAAGGACTTTTATCATTTACTGTAAACTTCTTTAGGAAAAATGGCAATATAAGGAGAGGACTTTTGTAGTTTACTGTGAACTTCTTTAGGAAAAGTGGCAGTATAAGGGAACGGACTTTTATTATTTACTGTGAACTTCTTTAGGAAAAATGGCAATATAAGGGAAGGATTTTTATCATTTACTGTAATGTTGAGAGTTGTATGTTTGTGAGTGGTGGGGATACTAAGAAATGTATACATTTATCACATCACTATGTGACCACTAGGGATCCTAGTGTACTGTTCCCTAAAGAGGAAGAAGTCTCATACTGTAATGAGTGATGTAGTCTCTCCTTATATCGCCATTTTCTCTAAGTCCAACACTTATAATCTGTAGAAGTCAAAAGTTTAAAGATGACAAAACTTGTAACGTATTTTACCAATTTCTTGACGCGAAGACTTCAGTCTCTCCTTATATCGCCATTTTCTCGAAGCAAGTCCAGCACCTCTGTACAAGTGAAAAGTCGAAAAGTGACAAAACTTCTAATTTTGACCAACTTATCGACGCGAAGACTTCAGCTCCGACACTAGCGCCACAGTGGAGTTTCCGAGAGGCACTTCACGTCGGTACGAAGTAGGTGCTGTCTCAAAGCCGGCCAAAAACGAAATCTGGCATCGTGACAGCCTTAAACGAACACGCTCACGAGTGTTTTCCGCGACGCAAGCAGCGGCTGAAAGTCTCGAATTTTTCGTAAAAAAACGCGATTCGATCACAGCCGGAAAATGTTGCGCGACGAAACGTTGAATTTTTGTAACTGTGATATGCGTTGCTAAAGGCTCTAGGCGGTGAGAACGTGAAAAAACAGAGCACTCTCTGTTGTCCTTTCTTCTTTTTTTTTTTTTTTTAGGGATAGACTTGTAGATGGCAATCGTGTGTCTAAGAGTGTACATAGCCAGGTGACTGAGTTAAGCTTATTTCTTTTTATGGTACGTTTATTTCCGGTCGATCGCGTGGTCAGGAACGATTTCGAGCGTAATTGGTTTGCGTGCTTCGATTGTTTCGCTCAACTTTCGCGGCAGCCGGGCAGAGAACATTGTTTTATGCAGAAAGGAACGTTGGGTTCACTTATTTTTACTGGGTAAATGTGTTTGTGTGTGTGTAGGTAGATCTCTAAATTCTTATGTCCTTAAATTCCTATGATTTTGAATTTTTGTATCCCTAAGTTCCTGTATCTTTAATTTCCTGTATCGTTAATTCCCTATACTGATAAATTCCTGTATCGTTAAATTTATGTTCTCTTAAATTCCTGTATTCCTAAATTCCTATATTTTTGAATTTTTGTATCCTTAAGTTTTTGTATCTTTAAATTCCTGTATCCTTAATTTCCTGTACTCTTAAATCCCTGTATCGATAAATTCCTGTACGCTTAAATTCTTGTATTCCTAAATTTCTATATCTTCAAATTTCTATATCCTTAAGTTTCTTTGTCTTTAAATTCCTGTATCACTAATTTCCTGTACTCTTAAATTCCTGTATCCTTAATTTCCTGTACTCTTAAATCCCTGTATCGATAAACTCCTGTAAATTCCTGTACGCTTAAACTCCTGTATCCCTAAATTGCTATATCTCTAAATTTCTATATCCTTAGGTTTCTATATTTTTAAATTCCTGTATCCTTAATTTCCTGTACCCTTAAATTCCTGTATCTCTAATTTCCTATACTCTTAAATTCCCGTATCCTCAATTTCCTATATTTCTAAATACCTATACCCCAATATTCTTGAACTTCCAGATCACTATATTCCCCCCTCCTAGATTTCCAAATCTCTATATTCTGCAATTCTCATATCCCCAGATCTCTAACCTGTTTATCACTATATCCCAGTATCCTTAAATCCCTATATGTATCCTTGAATCCCTATATCTCCAGATCTCTAACTCCTTATATTCCTAAACCCCTATATTCCTATATTTCTAGCCATTTAAGGCCACATATCCCTAGTTCCTTTAAATTTAAAATTCCCGCGCAGGTGGCGCCCTAGTATTAGTTAAATAAGCACCGCCCCGTGGAGGCGTGGCACAAGGTGGGAATAAAACAGTATATCTAAAAATATATTCCGAAAATATATTTTGCAGCTAACAGTTTTCTGATCAGTTTCATAAGAATCCCCAACAAATTACTAAGCTTCAAAATTCCCACGGTTGCAAGATTATGAGACATTGCTACCGGAATTCGTTGCAAGACTCCCCGGAATCCTCTCGAGGAACATGACTCACTCGAGATTCCTTTCTGCGTAACATCGTTCCAGAAACGAAACACTGTCGTTGTCGCGAGAACCCTGTATTTTCTAAACGTCAGTCAGAGTCACTATTTTTTTAGCCGATAGAACACTGACAGTGTTTACAGGTTTCTTGCCCGATTGCGGCTTCGAGGCACGAGAAGTGCACAATGTCCACTTGCGATTATCTAATTGTAGGCTCTCTAATTTGTTCCCCGAAAGTTGGACGTTTTTTGATCTCCCTTCTGTGTATCAACAACGGTCCACGGGACCCCGTGTGTCTTGGTCTCGTGGACACAGTAAATGTTCGATATTCAAGAATAAATACATAATGAACGAGAACCGGGGTTTTCATTCGTTGATTACGCTTCTGGGTTTGATGGCACATGTTTGGGAATTTAGTGCCTGAGCTGGTTTGAAGCTTGCGATTTTGCCTGTATTTGATATGTATCCAAATTAGGATTCTAGAAAGTACAATGCGTTAACTCTAAATATATCGCCTTGAATACGCTTATGCATGTTAAAGAATATTACATGTTGAGAATTAAAAGATATTACTATTTCTTATAGTTTGAATTTGTCAAGCTGGAGTGACAAATTTGCAGTCTATCTTCAAATTTGATAGCAGGTGATCGGCAATATATGGAGAGTTTACTAAAGATATTACAATTTTTGATATTTTCTAATTTGTCAAGTTATGGAGTGTCAAATTTGCAGTTTCTACAGCTTCAAATTTGATAACAGGTGATCGGCAATATATCGAGCGTCTACTCAAAGATATTACAATTTTTTATATTTTCTAATTTGTCAAGATATGCATTGTCAAATTTGCAGTCTCTGAATGTTCAAATTTGATAACAGGTGATGGCAATATATCGAGAGTTTACTAAAGATATTACAATTTTCGATATTTTCTAATTTGTCAAGTTATGGAGTGTCAAATTTGCAGTTTCTACAGCTTCAAATTTGATAACAGGTGATCGGCAATATATCGAGCGTCTACTCAAAGATATTACAATTTTTTATATTTTCTGATTTGTCAAGATATGCATTGTCAAACTTGCAGTCTCTGAATCTTCAAATTTCATAACAGGTGATCGGCAATATATCGAGAGTTTACTAAAGATATTACAATTTTTTATATTTTCTAATTTGTCAAGATATGCATTGTCAAATTTGCACTTTCTACAGCTCCAAATTTGATAGCAGGTAATCGGCAATATAACGAGAGTGTACTAACAGATAATATAATTTTTTATCATTCGTAATTATATGTACCTTTGCAGTGTCAAATTTGCAGTCTCTGAAACTTCAAATTTGATAGCATGTGTTCGGCAATATAACGAGAGTGTACTAAAAGATATAATTTTTGATAATTCGTAATTATATGTAGCCTTGCAGTATCAAATTTGCAGTCTCTGAATCTTCAAATTTGATAACAGACAATCGGCAATATAACGAGAGGCACTCTCCATTTCCACTGAAACCTTCCAAATATGTTCTCAGATCTTATAATTTAGTACTACTTTCATCTTCCAAACCTTGATTTAAACTTTAAACAATATTACCTTGAACCCTAACTATATTACCACCTAATTACACTAGTGTTCAAAAGAGTACATTTGCATAATATCAACGTCGGATAAAACTAAGAATCGAAACGGAAATATACGTAAAGAGCGTTTGTATCTGGAGATCAAGGAAAGTGCAAGATTCCGGCTTTCTAGCGGTCTCAGTTTTCGATAGACCGGATCGTGGTGTCTCATGAATATTCAAGATCGCGAACGGAAAGCAAAACCGTCGGATATTTTCATGGTAACGACCAACTTTATATCTCTTCTGGAACGCATCAAATAGGATCCGTTCCCATTTTCTTTCGAGTACGAGATTAATTTTTAGCCAGCACGTACTGCTGTCTTATTTGTGATCGTAGCGTTATATTTACTTTATAGCTGCCTTGTGATTTGATTGATATCGATATTGTATTATGTTTACCGATCAATTATATTTTGTACACTGATTTCACTTTTGGTCCTTCATTTTCCCCCGTTTTTCTTTGAACTTCGTGAATGACATTTATATTCTCAATGAGCAGATACATTTGTTCCTCGTTCATTGCAAAATCCCAGGAACCTGTAACCTGTACCAAATGCTGCAACTTTCGATCAATGCAATGCGGATTTAATTGTAATTTTAGATTGAAGACAGTGGAGCTAAGGGTCGGTACACCAATTATGAGCACCAATTAGGTTTACAAAATTTTATATTAATTCCCAATGTTCAGGGGTCAATAAGCACCAACTCCGAGTGTGATTTTGGAACCTCTGAAAATTGATACCTTGTTTATCTTATGGCGTATTGGTCAGTAGACAGGTTTCCAAAAATGTGCAAAAGTGCGACTTCGTAATTCCAGTAATTTGAAGCCAAAAAATTTTGTCACTCTCAGAGATATTCTTTAGACTGTCTTATAGAGATTTTGCAATTTCGCTTTGAAAACTTTTTAACTTCATAACGCAAGCATGTAGAAACGTTTGTTAAAAAGTTTTCGAAGCGAAATTGCGAAATGGGACTCTTAAGTATGGTCTGAAGAATATCTCTGAAAAAGTGTGACAAAATATGTGGCTTCAAATTACTGGAATTACGAAGTCATTTTTCACATTTTTGGAAATCTCTCCCGACCAGAGCACCATGACAGTATCAATTCTCCGCTGGAGATCCTAAAAGTCCCCAAGAAAGCTCGGAGGTCCCCAGACTCAAGGAATCAAGGTCCTCAAGAAATTAAGTAGCTCGACAAAGAGAAATTTGTTTAAACACTAAAGAGAAATTTAAACTGCAAAAAGATTCGATGATATCTGTCAGAGAAATTTAAGATGATTTCAAATATAACGTGGAATAAATTACGGAATTCAGCGTCCGCGTAGTCGGTTCGGTGCCTCAGCGTCCACCTCTCCCGTTAAACGTTATCGCTTCAATCGATTCGCCCGAGGTATTATTTGATTTAGTTGAGCAAAGAACGCTGTTACACGCACGTTCGATATAATTAAATCGACCCGACGATTGTTTCTTCGAATGGCCAATGAAAGTTTATTGCGCAATTATCTAGCGCACATGGGAATTCGAACGAAAGAAATAACGAGCGGCGAAGGAATGTCACCTCATTGGTTCTTTCGTTAATGGCACTTTTATCCCAGCGACAAAAACCATACGTCATTCTCAATTTTACGACTGATTTATGGCTGGTTTGAGAGTGGTAAGTTGGTTCACAGAAAAATCTGGTTCATAGAATTATCTAAAAAACAAGTTTCAACAAAAAATTCAAAAAAGCTGAAAAAGGAAATCATAGCGAATATCAATAAAAAGTAACTTTTCATTCAAAAATATTAAAATAGAAAAATAAATATGTTGAAGTATAGACAATATTAAAATATGAATTATATAAAAACACAAAAATAAAGGAAACATTCAATTTAAAAAATTTCTTTAATTATCAGTACTTGTTTCTTATTTGAAATGCATTTGAATGACACAATTAAATGATTCAAACTTAAAAATGATAAAAAATAAAACTTTCTCACTGATGTTACATACTGTTGCATTCAGAAACCACTGTTCCTTCAAACAATACTTTTCTATGCACTTCTGCTGAAGTTAATTATTGTTCTCCACAAAAAAAATAAAATTTTTAAACAATATTACACACTGTTGCCTTCAAGAACAACTGTTCCTTGAAACAATATTTTTTCATAGACTTCTATTGAAATTAATTGTTGTTACCCAAAAAAATAAAACTTCTAAATGATGCATCACACTGTTACCTTCAAGAACAACTGTTCCTTCAAACAATACATTTCTATGCACTTCTGCTGAAATTAATTATTGTTCTCCACAAAAAAAATAAAATTTTTAAACAATATTACACATTGTTGCCTTCAAGAACAATTGTTTCTTGAAGCAATATTTTTCCATAGACTTCTATTAAAATTAATTATTGTTAGCTAAAAAAATAAAATTTCTAAATGATGCATCACACTGTTGCCTTCAAGAACAATTACTCCTTCAAATAACATTTTCCTATAATTTTCTATACTGTATTTTTTACTTGAATTAATAGCATTGTTCAAAAAGGGGGTGTAGAAGGGTGGGAGACAATTACAGGTGCAATGGGTCACATGCACCAGCTGTAAAAGAAAATGGTGGGGCAGGCGCAGGCGTGAAAGTCTTCGGTTTCACTTGTCTTCGAGATCGGCACCTGACGCTAGTAGAAGAGGAAAAACAGTGAAGCTCGCGATTCCAAGCCGATCGAACGGATTCACAAGCGAAATCGTGCTGGTGCTGCTACACGATGCGACACCGGAAACGGACCTCGCTGCCGTTGCGATAAATCGAATCTGTCAAGTGCTTTTAGTGTTCTCACGTGTGAAATATTCTTTAAACAGAGTTTCAGAGTCCTTTGTTTTCTTTTTTAAAGATCGACTTGAATGTAGCTTCTTCGAACGAAAAATTTGTGACTTCTGTTTAATAAACTCTTCTGTTAGGTCGACAGATAATTACAATTTTTGTAATAATTCTTTTTTGCAATTTTTGGATTTGATACTGAAATCGTTATTGTATCAAACTATTACTGTTTTGTATACTACAAGACTCATTTTACTCATTTTATTCTACAAGATTTGAAAATAAAAAGAATTTGATCAAAAGTGAAATATATCAAAAGTGAAATACAAATTTTTGGAAATAATTTGGTAAAAAAAATAGGAGATTCGTGTATCGAAAATATCAAAAGAAAAAGTAAAGGAAGTAGCGTCATGAAAATGCCGGCAGAGTCCTCGATTTATTGGGACTCGGTTGGTTCCCAGCGCTCCACTTCCGGTGGCAGTACAGGAAGCGCTAGCAGGCACTATGTGGACCCGTGGGACCTGGAGAACTACGCGTACCTGCGGCGTCACAGCGTTGCGGGACTGACGCAACAGGCGTCGCGACATCATCGGCATCAAGCACATCGCATGTCACAAGAATCTCGTGCGCATTCCGAGTATTGGTAAGTGAATTCTGTGTCACTAGGTAGGATTGGGTTTATGTTATTTGATAAAATGTGAATTGGTCTTTGTATAACATGGGGGCCGTAGAATGTCGAATACTGTATATGTATATGTAAAATACCTTATATGAATTGTTTATATTAGATTTCCATGGCTCCATATTTTTAGATTTGCAATTTCAAAATCTTGATTTGGAAGTTTTTGAATTTTTAATAACCAGGTCAGGATTTTATAGGTTTTTAAATTCGTAACTCTTCAAGTTAATAATTTGTAAATTTCCAAGTTCCTAAATCACTAATTCTCATATTTGTCATTTACAAGTTTTCAAATTCATTAGTCCTTGAGTTCCTAATGTCTAAGTCCTCAATTTCCAAGTTTCTATATTCTACATCTCTTAATTCTCATCCTGTGAATTTCTAAGTTCCCAAACTCATAAAACTGCAATTGCAAGGTTCCAATTCCTATAACCCCAATTTTTTAATTTCCAGTTTACTAAAATCCTGATTTCCACGTCGCTAGTTACCACATCCCCAATTTTCACTTTTCCAAATTTTAAAAATTCCAATTCCCACATCCCCAATTTTCACTTTTCTAAGTTTCTAAAATTTGGAATTTTCCAAATTTCTAAAATTCCAATTTCCACATCTCCAATTTGGAATTTTCCAAATTCCTAAAATTCTAATTCCCACACCCCTAATTTGGAATTTTCCAAATTCCTAAAATTCCAATTCCCACACCCCTAATTTGGAATTTTCCAAATTTCTAAAATTCCAATTCCCACATCTCTAATTTGGAATTTTCCAAATTTCTAAAATTCCTATTCCCACACCCCTAATTTGGAATTTTCCAAATTTCTAAAATTCCAATTCCCACACCCCCAATTTGGAATTTAAAAAATTTTTAAAATTTCAATTCCCACATCTCCAATTTGGAATTTTCCAAATACCTAATAACCCCAATTTCCAATTTTCCAAATTCCAAAAGCCTCAATCCCACATCCCCAATATTCAATTTTACATTTTTCTAAAACTTCAATTCTCACATCCCCAGATTCCTAAATCTTAATTTCCACATCTCCAATTTTCAAATCCTTAGTTCTCATCTTCCCAAATCCCTAAACATTCCAAATTTCCAAATGTGCAAATTTAAAAAATCTCAATCTGTAAGTATAGAAATCCCAATATCCTTAATTTCTTGATTCCCAGTCTCCTAAATCCCCAATACTCACATCCCCAAATTCCTAAATCCCAATTCCCACATCTCCACTTCTCAAATCCCCAATTTCCAATTTTTCAATTCTCAAAATCCCCCATTTTCTATTTTTCCAAATTCCAAATTCCAAATTCCAAAATGTCTAAACCTTCCACTCCCCAAACACTTCATTACATTATCAATCACACCTTCAATTCCAGGTCAACAAGCACCTACACCCTTTTAATCTCTACAATATGTAATATTATTCACTATGAAGTAGTTATTATACTCGTTTGATCAGTAAAAAACAAATACATTTAACTTTATTCTAAGATATGTATAGGACTAAGTACCTCCTATATAGCACTAATATCAATCCTACATATATAGCACCTATATCAATCCTATATAGCACCAATATCAATCCCATATAGCACCTATATCAATCCTATATAGCACTAATATCAATCCCATATAGCACTAATATCAATCCTACATGTATAGCACCAATATCAATCTCATATAGCACTGATATCAATCCTATATAGCATCAATATCAATCCCATATTGCACCAATACCAATCCTATATAGCACTAATATCAATCCTACATATATAGCACCCATATCAATCCTATATAGCACTAATATCAATCCTACATGTATAGCACCCATATCAATCCCATATAGCACCAACATCAATCCCATATAGCACCAATATCAATCTCATATAGCACTGATATCAATCCTATATAGCATCAATATCAATCCCATATTGCACCAACACCAATCCTATGTAGCACTAATATCAATCCTACATATATAGCACCCATATCAATCCCATATAGCACTAATATCAATCCTATATAGCACCCATATCACCCAAAAATTGAGTCCTTCGCTCCTTGAAGCTCGCGTCAGACGAAATTAAAATGGCGTCCACCACCCAACAAAATGGCACAAATTTTCCAGGTCGCGGTCGATAATCGATCTCTACATTGCATAAAAATACTCGTCATATCGTTTACAAGCATAACACGCGCTTCTTCCTTTTCGTTTTTCCTTCTTTCACACTCTGTTTAACCTAATATATTTTTCACGGCTCGCAATCGACTCGCGAAAGATCGTATCGGTGGGCGCGAAGTAGGCCATGCTGTGTTCTTGAGCGTTGCACTCTTGTTGTAATATTTATGTATTACATTAAACTACACCTTCACTCGTCCTATCTCTTTCGAAACACACGCAATTTTTCTTTTTTAGACACGCACCAGAGATGTAACGATGTAAATGAAGATATTCAATTTTCGGAAAAGGCGCAATTACTTTCTACTTTTTTAAAATTCTGAGATTAAGAACAATTATGTACATACGTGGAGTAGGCAGTCGCAATGAAATGTTTAGTTAATTTCGATTTCTATTCATTTGCAATTGTAATTGTGTTTGAAAAACATTATTCAATCGGAAGATAATGTTATACGAGGCATCCTGGACTGCAATTGGTATTAGAGATTGGAAAGAACATGAGTGCAGAAGAGGTTAGGTAAACATGCAGTGAACGCTACAGGTCCAAGTGTGTATCTAAATTACAAGTTTTTTATTTGAGATTAAATTTTTTATTACGAATTGTGGAATTACTACAAGAATCTTAAGATCTTACATAAATTTGCATTTGAATGGAAAAGAAGGTTATGTACATAATAAGGTTATGTTTATAGTAAAGTTATGTTTGTAATAAGGTTATGTTCATAGTAAAGCTATGTTCATAATAAGGTTATGTTCATAGTAAAGTTATGTTCATATCAAGGTTATGTTCATAGTAAAATTATGATCACAATAAGGTTATGTTCATAGTAAAGTTATGATCACAATAAGGTTATGTTCATAATAAAGTTATGTTCATAATAAGGTTATGATCATAGTAGAGTTATGTTCATATCAAGGTTATGTTCACAGTAAAGTTATGTTCATAGTAAAGTTATGTTCATAGTAAAGTTATGTTCATATCAAGGTTATGTTCATAGTAAAGTTATGATCACAATAAGGTTATGTTCATAGTAAAGTTATGTTCGTAATAAGGCTATGATCATAGTAGAATTATGATCACAATAAGGTTATGTTCATAGTAAAGTTATGATCACAATAAGGTTATGTTCATAGTAAAGTTATGTTCATATCAAGGTTATGTTTACAGTAAAGTTATGTTCATAATAAGGTTATGTTTCTAATAAAGCTATGTTCATAATAAGGTTATGTTCACAATAAAATTATATTCATAATAAGGTTATGTTCAAAATAAAATTATATTCATAATAAGATTATCTTCACAATAAAATTATATTCATAATAAGGTTACGTTCACAATAAAATAATATTAATAATAAGGTTATGTTCACAATTAATGAGGTTATGTTTCTAACTACACCAAAGATCCATCAAGTCTTGCTACCCAATTGACCAACTTTTATTCTTCCATCATTTCATTATGAAACTATCGTTCTTTTTTTTTTTTAAATGTTATCCATCATGCTTATGTACTTGCATAATAAAACTAACCACATGTCGGTGCACAGTTACGACGATTTAATTGCCGGAAAGAGACACTTCCTTTAATCGTAATAGGCATTCATCAACCATCCAACCGAGGTACAATGAACCCTATGACTGCGTTTAAATCGATCACTCGAATCGAGCCGGTGAAAGGCGGGGTCTCTTGAGTGGTTTCGCACAACGAGCGCGGCTAATTTACTGATTTTCAAGCGAAAAATCGCGGGAACGCAATTAATGATAATAAACTGCAACCGCCTCGGGCGCGTTGCTGTAACTGACATTTTCCTTTGCTGCGCTGCGGGTGTCGCAAATTCAGTATTTGGGGATTTCTGGGATTTCTGGGATTTGGAGACTTTGGAAATTTAGGGATTTTGGGGATGTGGGGATTTTGGGATTTTTGGGATTTGTTGATTTCTGGAATTTGGAGATTTTGGGGTTTTTGGGGATTTCTAGGACTTGGAGACTTTGGGATGTATTGATTTCTGGAATCTGGGGAATTTGGGGATTTCTGGGATTTGGAGACTTTGGGAATTTGGGGATTTTCGGGATTTGGGGATTTGGGGATCTTGGGATGTATTGATTTCTGGAATCTGGGGAATTTGGGGATTTTGGGGTTTTTGGGGATTTCTGGGATTTGGAGACTTTGGGAATTTAGGGATTTTGGGGATTTGGGGATCTTGGGATTTATTAATTTCTGGAATTTGGGGAATTTAGGGATTTGGGGGTTTTGGGGATTTCTGGGATTTGGAGACTTTGGGACTTTGGGGATTTTGGGGATTTGGGGATCTTGGGATTTGTTGATTTCTGGAATTTAGGGAATTTGGGGTTTTTGGGATTTGGAGATTTGGGATTCGGGAATTTGGGAATTTTGGGATTTAGGGAATTTGAGGAATTTGGGGAATTTGGGGATTTGAGGATTTGGGAATTTTGGGATTTTGGGATTTGGGGATCTTGGGGATCTTGGGATTTGTTGATTTCTGAAATTTGGGGAATTTAGGATTTTTGGGATTTGGGAATTTGGGAAATTTTGGGAATCTTAGGAATTTTATTAATTTTGAGAAACTTGTGAATTCTGGGATTTGAAAATGTAAATTCCGAAATGTGACTTGGGGATTTCAGTAATTTGAAGATCTGAAAATTTGGAAATGTATATATGTAACAACCCCCAAATTTTCCTCCCAATATCATACATTAAATATTAAAAATATAACAACCACCTTCAATCGTTAAAACGAGAAACCTAACCTAAAAACTCAACTGCTTTCTCCGACTAAAAAGCCTGAGTCCCCCGTTAAACGATGTACCAAGATGAGAACGTATCTTACCGCGAATTTTGCGGTATTTATACGGTAAACAGGCACTAATTAAGGGACTAATTAACAAAGTAACGTACAAACACCGTAGGTATTCGTCGTCGACGAGAGAACCGGGCTACGTCGCACCAGCTTTCGTGGAAGAATTGTATTGTGGACCAGTCAGGCCAACGAACAATAGTTGTTATTATCACCAGCCGATCTACGAGGACGAGGTACCGGATTACGTCGCCCCGTTTCCGGTCTACGCGCCTCTCTCCGGTAAGATTAATTGCTTTTTCCCTGAAAGTACTCCCTAACTATCGAATCGAGGCTCATGCAGTAAATTAGAGAACGGGGAAACAACGGAAATTGTTTTCACTGAGAAAGCTACGGCTTGATAGTTCTTTTGGGAGGCAGTTTAGTTAAACTGGTCGTGGGAGGTTAGGTTAGAAAATGGCCGCTTTACAAAATGGCCGATGTTTGGTATGCAGTCAATTTTTGTTATGGGTATGAATTTTATTGTGGCAATGATATTTATTCGGGAATGATATTTATTTGGGAATGATATTTATTCGGGAATGATATTTATTTGGAGGTGATGTTTATTTGGGGTCGAATGTGATATGCAATTTATTTTGGTGATTATGTTGTGATGTACTATGTTGTATATGTTAGGTTAGGTTAAGTATTATACACGATTGATGTGCTGTAATATAACATGGCGTATAATGCAGCATATCACTGAATATCATGGGGATAATAAAGTATGGCACATATAATTTCATAGTAATGTATGTAATACATTTCAATGCAATGTATTAAAATGTAACGTCATGTGAAATATAGCTTATGCCACATAGACTACATTATAATACATACAAGCATATCCTAATATATTCTAGAATTTTTTGTATATCATTGCATATAAAGGTATAGCATCGCACAGGATATGTCCTTTCAAATGATGTAGTATATTAAAGTATAATATAATTTGTCATATGTCAGTATATCAGAACGTACCTTAACATGGCATAGCATATTATGTCGTAGCATAGCATATCGTGTTGACGTGTCATATCATAATGTTATGTCATATCGTGATGGAACATACAGTAACTTTATTAGAGTAGATTATAAGACAGTATAATAAATTATATAGCATATCATGTCATACACCTTAGAATGTTATAGCATATCATCGCGGACATCATAGAACATTATAGCATATCATGACATATAGATATCATTGAATGTTATAGCATATCGTGTCATATGTCAAAGAACATTATAGCATATCATGGTAGACATCATTGAATGTTATAGCATATCGTGTCATATGTCAAAGGACGTTATAGCATATCATGACATATAGACATCATTGAATGTTATAGCATATCGTGTCGTATGTCAAAGAACGTTATAGCATATCATGACATATAGATATCATTGAATGTTATAGCATATCGTGTCATATGTCAAAGAACGTTATAGCATATCATGACATATAGATATCATTGAATGTTATAGCATATCATGTCATATGCAAAGAACGTTATAGCATATCATGGTAGACATCATTGAATGTCATAGCATATCGTGTCATATGTCAAAGAACGTTATAGCATATCATGTCATACATCAAAGAACGTTATACCAAATCACACCACACATCATAAAACATTACAGCATATCATCTCATACATAATAAAATAAAGCATATCGCACCACATATCGCAGAATACCATAACCCACAAAACACAATGAATAAACATCCAGTATCACAAAACGGATCTCCCAAGGACACATAAATAATCGATGTGACAAATCGTCGCTGATCGAAAGCATATCGGCGATTCGTCACGCGTCGCAATAACTCGACCACGATTTCTATCGTGTCCTAGAAAGCCTCTATCGCTATATCGAATCGTCCTTTACACGCTTCTGCGACGCGTGATTATTATTACTATTTCCACTGGCTTTCGAGCGTTTCTGCTTTCTCTCGCAAACGCTAAATCATCCATGCGAATGACATTTATATTCTCAATGGGCGGATACACAGATACATTTGTTCCTCGTTCATTGCAAAATCCCAGGAACCTGTAACCTGTACCAAATGCTGCAACTTTCGATCAATGCAATGCGGATTTAATTGTAATTTTAGATTGAAGACAGTGGAGCTAAGGGTCGGTACACCAATTATGAGCACCAATTAGGTTTACAAAATTTTATATTAATTCCCAATGTTCAGGGGTCAATAAGCACCAACTCCGAGTGTGATTTTGGAACCTCTGAAAATTGATACCTTGTTTATCTTATGGCGTATTGGTCAGTAGACAGGTTTCCAAAAATGTGCAAAAGTGCGACTTCGTAATTCCAGTAATTTGAAGCCACATATTTTGTCACACTTTTTCAGAGATATTCTTCAGACCATACTTAAGAGTCCCATTTCGCAATTTCGCTTCGAAAACTTTTTAACAAACGTTTCTACATGCTTGCGTTATGAAGTTAAGAAGTTTTCAAAGCGAAATTGCAAAATCTCTATAAGACAGTCTAAAGAATATCTCTGAGAGTGACAAAATTTTTTGGCTTCAAATTACTGGAATTACGAAGTCATTTTTCACATTTTTGGAAATCTCTCCCGACCAGAGCACCATGACAGTATCAATTCTCCGCTGGAGATCCTAAAAGTCCCCAAGAAAGCTCGGAGGTCCCCAGACTCAAGGAATCAAGGTCCTCAAGAAATTAAGTTGCTCGGCAAAGAGAAATTTGTTTAAACACTAAAGAGAAATTTAAACTGCAAAAAGATTCGATGATATCTGTCAGAGAAATTTAAGATGATTTCAAATATAACGTGGAATAAATTACGGAATTCAGCGCCCGCCTAGTCGGTTCGGTGCCTCAGCGTCTACTTCACCCAAAAAATTGTGCTCGGTGCATACTCGATTTGACTTTTTATGAAAACACAAACTTTGATCAGTTTTTATGTTTGATATCTTTGTATCACAGCTCGTTGTTCAATTTATAAGTGAAAGGTTAGTGATCGTAAGCTCGTAAATAAGCAGGTGCCATAAAAGGCGGACGGTTCCATGGAATACCGACGGATACTTTTGGTAAAGTCTGGTCGCCGGCCATTAATGGCGACCGGTCCTGAAACGGAAGCGCATTCCTCGAGGAAACGCGTGCGCTGGCACACGCAGCGTGGACTTCAACCAATTGCATAACGTTTTCAAGTCGTGACACGTAATCGTGTCGCACCATGTGCAAGCATATCGATTAACGAGGAGAAAACGAGCTCGATAGTCGATTTTCGATCACTGCCAACTTTTATGCGATTCATAAATCAGCGATAAGTAGAGAATCATACACGTCCTTGTTCCGAATGGGAAGGAAGGCGTCGGTGGGCGTATTATACACCCGTTTCCCTAGTAACTTATTAAAATCAAGCCTAGTGACCCATTTTCGTTGCATGTTATATCGCAATCGGTATCTAAGATTCAGATGATTCATTGCTGCGGTCACGAGTGTACTTAATAATTGAAGTTTTTAAATTCTTAAATCTTCAAATTCGGAGTTGCTAATTTTCATATCTCTAATTTCCATGCATCCAAACTCCTAAATTTCCAGTTCCCAAATACGCAATTTCCAAGCGCCCCAATTTCCAAATCCCAAATTCCCAAAGTCCTAATTTCCAAATTCCTAAAATCCCGAATTCTTAAATTTCCAAATCCCAAATTCCTAATTTCCAAATTCCTAAAATCCCGAATTCTTAAATTCCCAAATTCCTAACTCTGAAATTCCTACAATCCCAAATTACTAAAAGCCCAATCCCAAGTCCCCAATTCCCACATCCACAATTTCCAACTCCCCAAATTTCTAGAACCCCAATTCCCACAATTCCAACTTTCAGTTCACAAAAATACATCCAAGATTTCTAAACTCGCGAAAATGATAAAAATTACGTGATCGAGCAACCACAAAGCAACGGAACTGTTTTTGGCTGACCACAAACGGTTACTACTTTCACAAGAAAAAAAAAAACTTGTTATGTAAACTCGTATCGTAAATTGTTCTCCTGATGAGGGAAACAATCAGCAACTAGAAAATTGATTGCTTAGCGGCGGTAAACAAGTGGAACATCGATATTTTGTTTTTGAGAAAGTTGTTTACAGCATACAAAATTGGATCGGATGTTCTTTGGTAGCTTTCTCTTCGAAAGTGATAAAGTATAACATATTTCATATATCATTTTTCCTGATGTAGATATGCGGAGATATCCGTAGTTTTCTACTTTTAATTAATCAATCCTCGAAAGTTAGCTAATGTATTTATGATATGCTTGTTAATGTTACAGAAGTGAGACACGGCGAGTTTATGGAAGACCACAGGCGGCCCAGGCACAGATGCAAATCGATGCCTATGAAAGATATTCAGAGGTATTCTCCAGTTTCATTTCTGTAAATTAGTGTTTCATGCAAAATAATTGCTAAATATTTTGTTTGAGGTCTATGTATATTGATCGTACGCCACCGATGAGTACCGTGGACTTAGGTAAATATAAATAATTATACTTGTTATATAGTGGACTAATATTGCTAAATAAATATACGAGTACCGATGTCAACCCACGAGTTGGCGCGTGACCCAGCTGTTTAACTACTATCAGAATAGAAAAATGGACGCCATTTTCGGTATACACGCATTTTCGGTATATTGGCTCACACACCAATTAGACCAAAAATGACAGTCGGCAAACGTCTCGAGATAGCGCGAATCGCGTTCAGCAGTTATGGTCATTATTCTTATTTGCCGAAATGTAACTGGAAGTGTTCACGGTGGATAGGTGGAGCGAGTGGCTTCTTTTACTCTGGCTCGACTTACGCGCCAACTCCTGGCTTGTCTGTCTACAGTAGAAACTGTGATGATCCGAGGGAACGTAGGGATTCTGGGAAGCTAGGAAATATGGCGATTCCGAGGACTGTGAGAATCTGGGGAATTCAGGAACTGTAGAGAATGTGGGGATGTGGGGACCTGGGGATCCGAGGGACTGCGGACTGTGGAGATCCTAGCGAACTTGGCACTGGAGACTGAAACTGTGGATATATAGGGAATTTAGGGGTCTGGAACTGTGGAGACTCTGGGGACTATGGCGAAGTATAGGTGTCCTATACTAGTATATCAAGAGTGCGTCAGGAGTGCGTCATTAGTATATCAAGAGTGCGTCACGAGTGCGTCACTAGTATATCAAGAGTGCGTCACGAGTGGACGCACCTATATGCACTTTTACAAATGTCTATTAAGTAAAACTGTTCCCATGACACTAAATGAGAATTTAATAAGAAAAACAAAATGGAGGCCCGAGTACAAATTAAAGAGTCCCAAATTATCCTCCATGCCAATTCATGGGTTGATATCCTCGCACTATATAGCCGTTCTCCTGTCTTTTAAATAATTTCAACCAAAATTTATCGAATCGATTTATTTTTACAGATGTACCAGACCACCATTCGCGAAGAGAATATCACTCAATGGAACAAGAAAAGTGCATGATGCACATTGTACCGCCCACGCATCTCGATCTGAACACGTATGGACACTTAAAGATCGATTACACGAACAGCTGGAACTCGCTGAATCGCAAAATCAGTAAATAACTCCGACAGAAAAGAAACAAATGTGTACTTAAGAATTTCTGAATCGAACCAAAAATTGTTGCTAGTGTTAATTTACTGGAATAAGAGTTATTATATAGATACTTCGTGTTATAATATATAGTTGTATTTTAAACGAGATCAAATGTAGCTTCGCTGTCTTCGGAGAACAACTTCCTCTTCTTGTTTCCGTCGGGTTTATTACCGCTGGTGGCCTCCATAGGTGTGTTGATCCTTTCTACGTTCAATTTTGGCCACCTTGAATATTATAATTTTAATTAGTTAATGTGGAAATGTAATATAATAGTTGATAATTAAATCACAGTACCTAAAGGAGGTATTCTGTTTATTTTTGTTGGGGTTGCTTGACACAGTCCTTTTCTTTGGCTCATTCTGAAAAGGTAGTTTATTAATAATAGAGGAGAGAGTATTATGGAAAAATCGGAAGGTATTATACCGAGGTATCCTTTTTAGCGTTCTGTAACAACATTTTGTATCTTTGTAGTTCATCAGAATGTTTCTGTTTTAACAAAGCTATATCTTCTTGGTACTTATCTTCTTGCATTGATAATTGAGATCTCAGGACTTCAACTTCTTCCTGTAGTCGATATGCTGTTCAAAAAATAATAATAACAATATATGAGAAATTGCAATAAGTGTAGGTGAATAGATACTCAAGTATATAACAACATATGAAAAATTACAATAACAGTAGGTGAATAGATACTCAAAGAAGAGATTATAAGAATTGAACGAATTCTCATAACAAATTTCAGAAGTCCATAAAAAAAGAAATAAGTAAAAAGTATACTAAACTACTGCTAAACTTACTCTGATCATTAGCATTGCAATCAGCATTAATAAGTCTCAAATGATCGCACTGTTCTTTTAACTCCTCGATCGTCTTCAAAAGACCGTCCTTCTCTGACTGCAATCCAACCACCGTAGTCTTGTATCTTTTTTCCAAAAGCAAATAAGTTTTCGACAATTTTTCCAAATTCTGCGTCATCCTCTGCGAGCGTTCTTTCTCCATCGTCACAGTTTCCTCTTGTATCTGGCAATACGCCTTCAAACCTACGTACGCCTGCGAACGTCACAAAAATTGATAAATTATCCGATAATTTAATAAATTGTAAATAAATTGTCGTACGTCGCGAATTCTTGCAAATTCTTCGAGGACTCCTTGAAACTCGCAGCTTACGTACTCTGCGTTCTCCATTTTGGACGCTTTCGAACTTCGAAGGCTTAGCCGAGACTCGAACCAGTGGTTCGTGTCCAATCTATTGAAGAACTGTACTTTTTCTCTAATTTTTGTTAACTGTAATTCAAAAGTTATTCTTCTTCAAAAATTATATTCCTTAAATCATTTTTGAGTTAAAGGTATCTTCGTTTAAATCGTTTGAAATGAAAAATTGTACAATTTAGCATGGACACAAACCCATGGGTTTCTGTCTACGGAAATAAAGCTTCATTTATACGACAATCTCATAAAAAGTACATCGTTACATTAAAATTCAAAACATTGCAAAAAGATCTCTTTTCTTATTACAATATTTTTGTTAGTATAAAATTATATTTCAGAAACATCATGCAACTATTACAAAAAAATTCTTACAAATAAACGAGAAGCAAAAATTGAACGAACAATGAAATTAAAATAGATTATATAAAAAAAAATTGCGAGTGTTGAAAATGCAAGCGAAGTTGCGCGCGAAATGAAACGAATGTGCGAACGTTTTGTTTGCACGGCAAAATGACAGACTTAATCAACCACTGAAAATGCGCGATGCAATCTAAATCAACGATCACTATCACTAACGAGAACGGTTCAGATAAATCGATGGAAGAGTCTGTTTTCGAGCAGATATGCGATACGATATTCGTCTTGATTCCCGAAGGTAGGTCGAACCTTGAAATCGATCTGATTCATTGAAGACGCGATAAGGTTACATCGTTGAAAAAGGACGATTCTAGTTGACCTTCGATAAAAAAATTTTTATTTCAATCTTCGGTAATTTTGCAAAGTTCGGATGATCCGTAACTAGAAATACGGTGTTGACTCAGTGACAAATCGATTCAATAGTCAGCTAGAATTTAAACGGATGTGTAATTGTCATTGCACTGACCATAGATACGTAATTATGATGGGGTTCTATGACAGTTCCACGACTGAAGCAGCTGTTCCTAAATTGGAGCCAGCTTGGCACCGATGACAGAGTGCAACTGGACGCCAAAGTTGCTAGCTGGTGTTGCCCTAACAGACGACAGCTTTATAAACCATTGCAGGAGGCTTTGATTCGGTGGGAGACGGTCCAGGATACACAAGGTTAATTTATGTTCTTTTTCGTAGTATGACATAACTAGAAGGGTATCGTACGAATATGGTGGGTATAGGGTACACTATAGTTGTAGCAGCATGCATTTTACGGTAAAATATGGCATACGTATAGTAAAGTACGATTTGATACGCTTATTATATGGTGTGACATGTTACGGAGACGACACTGTTACGATACGGTTGCGTTATGGTTGCGAGTCGGTTACGGTACGGCACGGTTCGGTACGGTAAGGTTACGGTACGATACGGTACGGTACGGTACGGTACGGTAAGATTACGGCACGGTAACGGTACGATACGATACGGCTACGGTACTGTTACGGTACTGTTACGGTACTGTTACGGTACTGTTACGGTACGGCTACGGTACGGTTACGGTACGGTTACGGTACGATACGGCTACGGTACGGTACGGCTACAGTACGGTACGGTTATGGTACAGTTATGGTACGATAAGGTTACGGTACGATACGGTACGGTACGGCAAGGTTACGGCACGGTATGGTACGGTAAGGTTACGGTACGATACGGCAAGGTTACGGCACGGTACGGTACGGTACAGTGCGATACGGTACGGTACGGTAACGGTACGATACAATACGGCTACGGTACTGTTACGGTACGGTACGGTAATGGTACGATACGGCTACGGTACTGTTACGGTACTGTTACGGTACGGTGCACGACGGTCCGATCTTATGTCGGTACGATAACTGCAGTTATGATAAATACGTTATAATATTGATACATGAATATGGTATTAAACGTTACGGTACGGGTACGATACGTTACGGTACGGGTACGATACGTTACGATACGGTTACGGTACGACACGGTACGGTTACGATACGATACGATACTGTACCATACACATACGATATAATATGATACATCATACTTATAAAACAGTACAGTATCGTATTGATACAGCATACGGTCGTCCTCATCGACACGGTACGTTACGTCGCGGATACGCTACGGATCTCTCCCACTCCAAATTACTAACACGACACGAATTTTCTAATCCGATAAATTTTCTCGAGGTAAAAATCGTTTGAAGTAGCTCATCACAAAAATCATTAAGTTTCTCCAACCGAAACTTATTAACATCCCGAGCATATAATTTTCTCGTTTCAATCGATCACCAGAGAATTATCCATTCAAGTCACAGCCCGTTAAGTCATAATTATTCAACGATTCAACAGGCGCTCCCGGCTGCGAGCCAGGTATGGTTTCGTTTTCGTGCGATCCACAGTTGGAGGAGGAGCTAGTCAGCGTTATATACAGTTTGGAGCTGTTGTTTACGAAGAATTGCAGGGGCAAAGAGATCGATATGGACTATGAAATTGGTCGCTGCACAGACATCAAAGGGGAGATGTCCTTAAACCTGAATAGCGACACTAATCTGCGTTCCATGCTCAGTCCGAAGGATAGAACACCGCATTCCGTGCACAGTTGTGGTTACATCGCTGATTTCAAGAAATCTGATGATGATCTCAGTGGATATCTGACTAATTAAATGTGAAATTGACCTGTTTCCATCGAACAACGAACTGCGTTTCGTTTCTACATTCTTTCTTTATATGCATACATCAATCGCGGTCATTTTGAATAATATAGTGATCTACAGATACGAGTCTGGATTTTTTAAACGACATCTTAATTTTCAGCGGACAAGGCGTGAGAGACCATACGATATGACGTGACATGAATTTAAAAAGTTTTTAAACACGGTAACAACTTTTTGTCATCTTACCTTGATCAGTTAATGAATTTTTAATCTTTCCTCTTCCTCCTTTGTAAACATCGAAATTATTCATCAAGCGGAAAATTTGAGGACAATCCAAGATACCAGCAGGAGTAATGACATAAAATAGTTTATTAATCATCATTATGAGGGCCAAGGTGTACGAGCATACATTCAAATAATACATGTCGATCAATTAATACAACGAAAGTCAAAAAAGAAGGAAACAATACGAACGAAAAAAATCCGGATCGCGTCTCGCGAACGCTGGATCGCCTCCTAAGGACATTAATTACTACGCCGTGATAATAACTTCAGGACGAACACTGCTCCTTGCGAGAGAAAGTTTAGATACAAACAATACGTGTACAAGATTAATTTAATCTCGTCAACTTTCCTCTCGTTACATTTAATGTGCACCTCCTATGACTTCTGTCCACCACATTCTTTTTTTATTTACAAAACGTTAAACCAATTTCTCGTGATCCTTCGGATATTGGGCTCTCTGGTTCAATTTAGTCTCTGTTCCATCATCCTCTGGGCTCGTTAAGTACTATAGCCATCGGATCAGATCCACGATTGCTATGGGGTTCGCAGTTTTGGAAGCATGGAATCTTTCGGACATTTTGAAATTTTCAGAACTTGAAATTTCGAAGGTATTTGAAATGTTAGGACGTAGAAAAGGGACCTTGGAATTTTGGAACCTCGAGACTTTGGAAAACTTGAAGTTCTAGCTTCAGCCGAATAAGAGAGGTTAGGTCGGAACCAATGTGAAATGGTAAATCGAAGGATCCAACTTTGCAGATTTCAATCACAGAGTCGCTCTAGGATGATCGCTCCATCCAGGGTGAATCAATGTTATGGGAGTAAAATGGCGTCCATAAAGTGGACGACTCCATAGCGTTGAATTCGATCACAGTCTATCGTTATCAATCTAGGGTGATAAGCTTCTACAGAATGAAGCTCAGGTTTGGTTAGGCAACACCTTCGCTACCAATTTAACATCCGTGGTAGCAAACGTGTCGACCCGATGAAAATGAGACTTGTGTCGCCGATGACCGAAAGTATTAATCGTGACGAAGAGCAGGAATGTCAGAAGAAATGTCGTTTAATCGCGTGAACGCTCTTCTTCACAGAAGAAATCACCAGAGGATCGCGTGGACGTTGAAATTTCCAAGGATCATCGATTTCCGGCGGAAATCTGATTTATCGACCGAGCGGGCAGACGCCATGTCTGCGCCATTTTTCTTCTCCTTTTCAATCTCGATACTTTGAAGCTGATGCACTATAACGCGCATCGGGTATTATAGAAACCGATTCTCATCGTTGGAATCTCTCTAGCCGTGTCTCTCCCTGAATTTTGCAAATTTTCTTTAAAATCCGTTGGAAGTTTTGAACATCTCAAAAACGAAGTATCACAGTATCTTTTCTAACAGCGTTAAAATGTATCATTCGTTCAACAATAATTTAAGCATACGCGCGCACCATTTTGTAAACGGGTGATAGAAAAATGGAGATCTCAGAAGTAAAGGAAATAGAGAATCGTTTAAAAGAAATAAGTATATTTTGTCCTATTACTTATTGCAACAACAAAATCAAGTTATTCGTAATAATATACACCACTCGCTTCGTACTCATTCAAACAGTGACAAGGTCTTCAAAACTTCCAAAAACGTCTATTCTCAAATGACAATCAAAGCGGTTAATAGCCCACGGTTATTCACAGACGGGTAGCAAAGAGAGGACACGGCCCTGTTGCTCCGTTCGCTTTTTTTCTAGAAATCCGGGTTAACATGCTAGAGTGTCATTTTCGTCTACGCAAAGCTGTGCGGCATAGTCCCACGGTTCGCCGCATGGGGCTGTGTCGCGACGATCGCGTTTTATCATAGCCTACCTAACGTTACGCATAATATTAATCGACATTACGTGCCACTAAATAAATATATTTATTCGGACACTTCGTTATTACATCCGAGATGGGCGGATCGAGGGACCCCAAACATGGGATTTTCAGAATTTCCAAAAGTTGTTTCGAATATTTGTAATTCAGAAATAGAAAAATTTGTGAAACCTCGATGCCCATCTACGTCATTCGGACGCGTCTCCGTCTGGTTTGAACACACTCACTCTGCGTCCTGTTTGCGGTCGCGAAATTCCAGTGCGAATTTAATCGTGAGACGAACCGAAAACGTGTGGTCCCGAAGTGAATTTTCTCGATGAAACATAAGCGAAAGTGGGGACGTGGATGGACAGAAAATCAGGGATCGGCGATTACGCTAAATCGTCCTGCCGCTACGAGGGGTAGGCTGTTATAATCGTCTTAAATAAAACTAACGTTAACGTATACACGAGTAGAAACACGTTTGCCCTATACTAGAGGCTAAGACTGAGTATACACGCGATTGAAACTGGAAAGGTGTGCCCGTACACGTCCGACCCGGTCGAGTCTCTCATCGCGAGTGAACCGGCTGTGGTTTCCTTCGAATCGTGAAGCGGACCTGGACACCTCGACAGTACCGTATTCCGGCGGGGACTATACACGGGTGCCGTCTGCACTTTGGTACAAATAGTCCTTTCTTCGAGGGAAACTCGTGATCCCAGCAGGCTCTGTACGCACCGGCAGCGGATTAACTAATAAAACTTGATGCGTCTGTTCGGGCGATGAGAGGACACCCAGCGTCGACGGCTAAACAGTCCCTACTTCGACTGTGTTCCTCGCAGTTTATATTAATACATGTTCGTGTGCACCTGGTGCGTTCGACGCGGGTGACGACGAGCGGTACGGAGGTTAAAACTGGAACTTCTTCACATTTTTTTTTCTTCTTTTGCGCCAGTTCCTTGCCTTGCGTTTTGTGTGTGACTCTTGTACGCGTGTTACGTCGTCATTTTTTTTTCTTTTCGTTTTTTTCTTTTACTTATGTGTTAGGAATAAGGTATTTTAGTACACCTTGGCCTGAGATCGAATGACTAGCATTTCCGGTTGTTGTTCGCGCCACTGTTCTGGATCCGCAAGCGGTCTTGGCGACGGGGCCGCTTGCCTTTTACACTGAACACTTCTCTCAGCTTGTTACTCCTTTCCAGGCGGCCTCTCTTCAACGCTTGGGTAGATCTCTTCTCGAGGATCTGGACATAATTTAATTGGTGTCTGTTAGTAACGCAACAGGTGTGTCTGATGACTAAACGCTATTACGATTATTCGCGAGAGTATAGAATCTTAAATTAAATTCCCTAATGAAGTCCGTGACAGCAATATGTCCTGAGGGACATCACAGACATACTAACGCTTCACCCAACTGCTCTAAAGTAATATTATACAGTTGCAAACTGTTATTAATAGAATAGTTACCTTCTGCGCCGATCGAAGCTGACCTATCCTCTCCTCGGTATGAACACGACCGTTGACGGGTCTTCCGTCGTGGATGGCCGGTCTACGAGTCGCTTGCTCGTTCTCGCTTCTTCTCGGACTGTGGCGTTCCAAAGAGGCTGCCGCGGCTGGTGTACCGGAAACGACAGCGGGTGCAACATCTTCCTCGACGTCCCGCTCTTCCGGCGCATCCGGCGTGGGTGGTGGAGTGTCGGGGGCGACCGGAGACGCTGTGGCTCGGTAAACAGACATACTGGGGTGCTCTATCAGCAGGTCCTCTAGCGGTGACGTTTCTACGTTCACGGGTCCTGCCCGTGTGAAGCACGCGGGTGGCGTTACATACCACGACTCCTCCAGCGCCGTCGTGCCCTCAACTGGAAATTACAAACTGCTATTAGTTTCTGTGCATTTATGTTCATTAAGGACTTTTAGAGATCTAGGTTTAAGTCTGTGTATATACTATGTCTACTTTCAAGTATTTCTCATAGATTCATGAACATGTGGCTGTAGTTAGGTGCACTAGGTGCCTGGGCCTCAAGCAGACTTGTGAATCCATGATAATGTGGATGTGGTTAGGTAAACTAGTTGTCTAGGCCCAAACAGATCCATGAATTCATGAATATGTGGATGTGGTTAGGTAGACCAGTTGCTTAGTATTCAAGTAGACCCATGAATATGTGGATGTGGTTAGGTGAACTAGCTGCTTATTGTTCAAATAGATCCATGAATCTATGAGAATGTGGATGTCCTTAGGTGGATTGGTTGTCTAGTGTCCAAGTAGACCTATGAATCCATAATAATCTGGATGTGGATGGGTGAACTAGTTGCTTAATTGCTTAGTATTCAAGTAGACCCATGAATATGTGGATGTGGTTAGGTGAACTAGCTGCTTATTGTTCAAATAGATCCATGAATCTATGAGAATGTGGATGTCCTTAGATGGATTGGTTGTCTAGTGTCCAAGTAGACTCATGAATCCATAATAATGTGGATGTGGATGGGTGAACTAGTTGCCTAATCCCTGAGTAGACTCATGAATCCATGAATATGTGGATGTGGTTAGGTGGACTAGCTGCCTATTGTTCAAATAGATCCATGAATCTATGAGAATGTGGATGTCCTTAGGTGGATTGGTTGTCTAGTGTCCAAGTAGACCTATGAATCCATAATAATCTGGATGTGGATGGGTGAACTAGTTGCTTAATCCTTGAATAGATTCATGAATCCATGAATATGTGGATGTGGTTAGGTGAACTAGCTGCCTATTGTTCAAATAGATCCATGAATCTATGAGAATGTGGATATCCTTAAGTGGATTAGTCTCCTAGTATCCAAATAGACCCATGAATCCATGAATGCCTGGATGTGATTAGATGAACTAGTTGCCTCCCCACAGATCCAATCCATAAATATATGTATGTACTTAGGTAGACCAGTTGCCTACTGCCCAAGTAGACACGAATCCATGATAACGTGGACGTGGTTAGGCGAACTAGTTGCCTAATCCCCGAGTAGAGACACGAATCCATGAATACGTGAATATAGTTAGCCCAGTCTCCAAATGGACGTATGAATCCATAAATACGTGTCTGTAGATAGATGTGCCCCCTGTCCAGTTTACAAATGGGACTTACGAATCCATGAATACGTGTATGTAGTTAAGTACGCTGATTGCCTAGTCCACGAATGTGCGTGTGAGGAAAATGAAAGGAAGACTGCGAGTGGTCGGGGGTCATTAAAGTTCGTAAAGAACCCCTGCTGTGGACAGCACTAGTTTATGGCCTCTACTGGTCGGTGTCTCGTGATTAACCTAACGTACTCGAAATCGATGACGTGCCGTACGCGTCGCGGTGTCTTTAGAAAAAAGCGTGACAAATATTCCGAGCGTAATTTGAATTATTTCAAGCAGCGAACACATCATACATGAAATTTGTTCCACCGCATTGTTCTCATTGCTGTAGATAAGAATTGTATTTTAATGAGCCCGATAATTTCGTGCTTGCATCATAGAACGTGACTGGCGTAAAATTTCCGCACGTGGAATGTTCTTGAAAATTTTTCGAAAGGATCGTTTAGAGATCTTTTATGTTCAGTCTTGTTTCACACCAGAGGCACCCCAAACGGGGGAAGCAGACTGCAAAGGGTCGGACTTTTCCGAATTTCTCGAGCATGGTCCCTTTGTGAAAGGGCGCCAGACGTACCAGTACGGTCAATGAGGATCCAGTCATCACCCTCGACCTCCACCTGACTGAGCCTCGCCATTACTGGAAGGGACTCCGGGGTTTCGTTATTGGATCCTTCCCGTGAATCTTGTGCGCCGGAGATATTACCTCCGAGTAAGTAGTTCGCCAAGCTGCTCAGCATCCTGACCTTCTTTTTGCTCTTCAGCGCCTGCAAAACGAACCGACGTTCGGATAAAGTATCTCCCGATGACGATCACACTTTATGAATATACTGGGTGACCCTAGATTCCCTGATCTACAAAACCTGAAGCTATTAAGAAACTACTGCTAAATTTCTTATTTTATTATTCCACATGAAATGAACTTATACCTAACACTTTCAGATCAGTTACCAGACCAACACGTTCAGACCCAGCAATTACCTAACACATCCAGACACACATTTCAGAGCCAGCAATGTCTGCTAAATTTCTTATTTTATTATTCCACATGAAATGAACTTATACCTAACACTTTCAGATCAGTTACCAGACCAATACATTCAGACCCAGCAATTACCTAACACGTCCAGACCCACATTTCAGAGTTAGCAATGTCTGCTAAATTTCTTATTTTATTATTCCACATGAAATGTTCTTATACCCAACACTTTCAGATCAATTACCAGACTAACACGTTCAGACCCAACAATTACCTAACACATCCAGACCCACATTTCAGAGCTAGCAATGTCTGCTAAATTTCTTATTTTATTATTCCCCATGAAATGTACCTAACCTAACACTTTCAGACCAATTACCAGACCAACACATTGAGACCCAGCAATTACCTAACACATCCAGACCCACATTTCAGATCCACCAGGGTGTTAAAACGGTTGCGTTTAATATCGTATGGAGGCCAGTACAAGGGTTGCTTACGAAAACAATCGAGAAGCCATTGAAACGCAAATCCAAGATAAAGCAAGCGTGTCAACGGATTAACGTGTTCGCATGGAACACGTTCAACGATTCTGTTTACAGAATAAAAATACTTCGAAGCTGTCGAGAGGCTCGATACTCGAAGCTGATCTCGGCGATTGCGAAGTCCGGCACGATTGTCGCGCAATTGTGAGCGTTCACGCGGAAAGCGTGGATCCGCGCGCGAGCGCGTCGAAGTGCGTAGTAGCAACGTTATCGGGACCATGGTCACCACGTTGTAATTACTGCGGTTCGCAAGAATTCCTATGGTGCGCTGACAAGTCAAATAATAATCAACGTTCTTTGACCCTGACTGCGAATCGATAAGCTACTTAACCGGTCAGGCCCACGCGCTTAAAATAGTTCGTTGATTCGGACTGATGCACATTTGGATGTGGACAAGTTTTAGACACTTTTAAGTTTGGTCTGGGACTGTTAGATTATTGTGGGGACAGTTCATGGGGACTTTTGGGTTTATGATGGAACTTTTGTAGTTTTTGGAGTTATGGAGAATTGGTTTGGGATTTGTTTTGATAGATTTGGATGGGAGTTTATGAAGGTCTAGGTTAGGATAGGGACTTATGAACGACCCTGTCTAGGTTAGGATATGAACTTATGAAGGATCATATCTTAAGTTAGATAGAGATCCTTCATAAACTACAAGGACCCTATCTAGGTTAGGTTAGGGATTTATGAAAGACTCTATCTAAGTTAGGGTAGGGATTTATGAAGGACCTTGTCTAGGTTAAGATAGGAACTTATGAAGGACCCTGTCTAGGTTAGGATATGGACTTATGAGCATATACTAACCTAGATAGGGTTTTTTATGAATCCCTATCCTCACCTAGACAGGCTGCTCCATAAATCCCTACCCTAACTTAGATAGGGTTCTTCATAAAATCCTGTCGATCACCTAACTCTGTTAGTATCTTCCCCAGAATATTCCTGGAATAGTCCTAGGTTTTAGTGTTCCAGGAATTCTCTAATAGCTCAAATTCAATAAGTCCCTAAATTCTCTAAAAATTCCATAAGTGACTACTCCCAATCCTTAGGACTTAGCTAGATCTATGAGTCTCTCCCTAATTCCCTAGGTCCCTAAGTCTCCATAGTCTCCAAGATTGCCACCTATGAAACTCTCCATAACTCCCTAACTCCCTATATCTCCCTAGTCTCCAAGATTTCCACCTAAGAATCTCTCCATAACTCCCTAACTCCCTATGTCTCCCTAGTCTCCAAGATTTCCACCTATGAATCTCTCCCTAACTCCCCAACTCCCTAAGTCTCCCTAATATCTAACATCTCCACCTATGAATCTCCCTAACTCCCCAACTCCCTAACTCTCCCTATCAACCCCGAATTTCCCCAGTAAATAAATAGCACAAAAAACATACGTCATCCCTCAGTTGATCCTCCAACCGCACAAGTTCAATCACCCCGACGATTCGTAACTAGCGAAAAAGTCAAGTAGCCAGAAGAAGATCCGTTCAAATATTTCGCAGCTTCCCGGTGTATGTTTACACGTTGATAAGGCAACAGGTTCGATAACACTCGCGGCACTAGAAACGCTCGTGTCCGTAGACTGAGCTCGAATGATTCATGAAACGAGTGAAAACACGTCGCGAGAGTGAAGCGTGTTTTAATCGTATCGCTGCTCAACATCTGTTTTGCTAATTTCACGCGAGCGGATAACGGGCCTTCGTTATCGAGTGACGCAACCGTCGATGGATCTTCGATCTCTCGATAAAACGGGAAAAAAGGATGCGGATGAAAAATGTGCGAGCAACGAGAGTTGATTAGCGCGGAGAGGGGGGAACAGGATGGAAAGTTTAATTGAATTTCAGAAACGTGTATGCGCGTTCGATTTATCACCTGTCACGTGTCCGAATGTTTTCGACATCGATGTTTTCCTCGCTGAAAGTTTTCTGTTTTTCAGACGGTTTAATTACATCGATTATGCGGAATTATGCACGAAAATCATCGTGCATAAAGAAAAAGGAGAAAGTGATTCGGAGACTTTAAATAAATTTCAATTTCGTTAGGTAGTTAAACTTTATCTATTTTTCTTGCTTTTTCTTTTAATAATTTTGCAGTTCTGACTTTGGAAAAACATTCTTCTAACTGTATACAATTTATTTATATTTTTTGTTTGATTTTATTTCGATACCTCTCTAACTGTCGCAACACGGACCAAACTCGCGACAATTATGGAGGTATATTTTCTAAATAAGTTTCACGAGAAAATATAATTATCAGACATTTTTACTAGATTTCTGCACCTTCATTGAAGGTGTCAGGTGTTAATTAGAGACCCCGTAATAAAATTCGATTTAATTAGCGGTTTCAAATCTGGTCGCGGTTCCAGCGTGTTAATTTCATAGAAGCACGTTACGAAACGGCGCATTTCAAGGAGAAACGTGTAAAAAGTGAATCGTTATCCATTAACATAATTACGTGGAGAGATACTTAGCATAATGAAACACACGTGTGTCCTTTTGTGTGCGCGTCGCTGTGTGTGTGCCTGTTACATATAATATTCGAGCGAGCGACAGGGTAACCGATGATGCATTAAGAGTCGTAAAAACGAGACGAGAAAGGAAAAATCGTTGGACTTGGTGCAATCGAGTATTTGTGTCGCGGAAAAAAAGATGGTTGTACCTTGACCGCGTAATTCGAACTTCGCGGACAAACGTGGGTGTTCGATATTCAACCAATGACACGCTCGGGGGCGTGGCTTAAGGACTGAAGAAGCATTAACACGTGCATGTGTGCTCGAAAGCTTGTTATTTACAGATTTCTGAACTTTTATATTTTTAGGTCCGCAATTTCTTTTAGAATTTTTTGATAGATTAATCACTTTTTAAATTTATAAATTCACAAATTTTTTAATATGTGATTTCCTATATTTTTGAGCTATTAAATATACAAATTTCTGCATGTTCGATATTTTAAATCGGAAAGTTAAGAATTTAGAAAAATATAAAATTCCAATATTTAGAAAATTGGAAATTTAGGAACTCAGTAAATCACAAATTCGAGAATATACAAATATTTAAATCAACCGAACACACAATTTTATCAAAACATTCCATAAAAAAGAATTTTTAATACATTTTTTCTTACGCACTGTCTCACAAAATAAGTAGAAAGGTTTCGACAGATTCGAAACACGATCTTTCTTCTCGAACTCGCAATTCGGGTACCGTTCGTCGTGCAAACAAATTACAATTGCGTCGATGAAATCAGTGACTTTCTGACGCAACGATAAGACCACGGTAACGAGCGCGATTAGCCTGATTATGATTCACGAGGAACGAGCGAAATCGATAGAGCTGCTAGCATTTGTTATTCCGTAAAAGAAATCAACGCGATAAGAGAGAGAAAGAAAAAGAGTGACACAAGATGACCAGCCAGGAAGAAATGGCAGATAATGAGGTCTTTCTGCGTTGTTTAATTCGGTCGATGTTTCATGCAGATAATTTGACGATATTACAAAAATGTACTTGGGTCATGCTCGAAGGAATGTTTAATTTTTGTTGTTGAATTCTGTAGTTGTGTTTGAAATTTCATTTTGCGCAATCGTTTTATGGACGAGTCGATATCTTGTTAATTTCCTGTTGTAAAGTTGCGATAGTTAGGAGGATGTTGCATCATCAGTTTATAGATTTGAAAGTTTCGAGTTGAGAGATTCAGTGATTTGAGGGTTTTGGGATTTGGGAATTTGGGGATTTAGGTGGTGGGTTAGGGATTTGGAAGGCTGGGAATTGGGGAATTTAGGGATTTGGGGATTTGGGTATTTGGGTATTTAGGTATTTGGTAATTTAGGGATTTCTATATTTGGGGCTTTGAAAGTTTAGAAATTTTGGAATTTAAGGATTTGGGGATTTAGAAATTTCGATAATTAGGTATTTACATTTAGAACTAAATTTAGTTTAGTTTTAGTGTAGGTCTAAATTAATCTATATTCCCAAATTCAAAAATTTCCGACGTCGTAGCTATCCAAACTCTCGAATTACAAACTCTTCAAAAACAAAACATTGAATTTTTATCTCAGTTTTATTACCGGAGATGAACGGTTACACATAAAAAAAAAAATAAACCCAACAGATTTATTTTTTGCAAGAGGACACAGTTTATTTAGAATCCAGGTTTGATGTAAAGCGTAATTCAAAATACTTTGATCGAACTTGAAAAACACGAATGACAACACCAGAAACGAATATAACTACCGCTGTCAATCCACAAATTGGCG